ATTCATCCTTCAAAGCGAAGGAACAGTTTGTTAGTCAATTGATTGAAAGCAAACTAGAAACTTACTACAAAGAATTAGTTGCACGAAAGTTGAAAATCGAAAAGTTACAGGAAGAGTTAAAGCAAAAAGAGAGCGATGTCGATGAGGAGAGAAATTTGATGGCTCAGGTAATGACTAAATGGGCTGCAGAGATTAGGGAGATAAAAGATAAAGAAGCTGAGATGAACGATAGATTGCAGCTGGTGCAGGAAAGCGAAGAGAATCTAAAAGCAGAGATAAAAGCGTTGAAAGAGAAGGAGAAAGAAATGAAAAGCAACATCGATACGTTAAAACATAAATATCAGTCAGCAAAGAAAACAGCAAATAATTATAAGGTAATTTAAGGAATATTTATTGATTTTTTATTTTTTCAAATTTAATGTACAAATTATTTTAGGAGCACGCGGAGAACAAAGAGAAATTTTTGTTAAGCGAATGCAAGCGTATAGAGGAAGGATACAAAAGAGCCATGAATCAAGTACAACAAAAGCTTGAAGCAATCGTTAGTACTCAAGAGGAACAAGTAGCCACTAAACTGAAGGAACTTGAGTGTCAGTATACAGAGAGAATAGAACAAATGCGACTTACACTGAAGTACAAAAATAAATGTTGAAGTATGTATTAATATTTTAATACGCAATATAGCTTTGGTAGTTTAAAGAAAGGCGAGAACGTAGTTAGAAGAGGCTAGATATTTTATAATTTAAAGCACTTTATTGTACAACACTTTATTAGAAGATTTTTTATTTTAGGGACCAATAATTTAATGCATTAGGTGTATAAATGAATTCGGTGCCTTTAGCGTTTTTCAATTTTTCCGTGCATCGGTAATTTTGAAAAGTGACGCGGGGATATGATTTCAGTGATTGGAGTTACCATGACTTATTGAAGATAAATTTACAATTAAAAAATAATTTAGCACCGAATTAATGTCTGCACCTAATACATTGATAGAGTTATTATTTGTTCGCTGTACATTTATTAACATGCCAGCGAACGATAAATGTAATTTTATAAACTGCGAATATTAAAGTACAATTTCCCGGTTAATTAATAGAGTACTAATTATATGATAAATCTTAAGAAGGAAATGAAATTGTAAAAAGAGAAAAGAACCATTTTTTCATTAATTTTATAAAGTTCTCATTGAACGTTATGACATAATATTGCAATGCAAGACTGGATCTTCACTATATCTTTTTTTTTATTTTCTTATAAAGTAGATAGAGACGTTAGAACCTATTAGAAGGTTGTAGATCATTTTTATTTGACTTCAAATGTCAAAGTATTAAGAAACTGTTCACAATTTTATATATCTCAAGAATGTAGACATTAAGATTGTACAAAATGTGACCTTATCATAAAAAAGAAACCTGGCGTTATGTATAAAAGTTTAAGATTTATACTTGATGTGCGATATCAAGTTATATAACATAAAATATTAAAAATTGAGATTGGAAATATATTTATATCAATTTGGGTGGTAAAATTTGTTAGGTGTACCAATTAATTCGGTGCCCTTGGCGTTACTATTTTTAATTTTTCCGCACTTCTGTGCATTTGTAAAGTGGCGTGAGAATATGAAAAAGCATCGAATTAATTTCTACACCTAATAATTTCTTCTGAGCACATATACACATATGAAATGTTTTGTACAAACTAGTACATGTAAACATTTTGTAAATGAATTAAGAAGCCATAATTTTGTCTAATCTTATAATTTATTATTTAAGATTAGCCGATGCGTGTAATATACTCTCAATTATTAAGAACAAAAAACACCACAGACTGCTGCGATGACTTTTGTTTAACGAAACTTTTATTCTGAATGCAATTGTTATAATTTAAAATATTAAGATCCATGACATTCGCGCATTATGTATTGTACATTATTATTATTATTATTATTATTATTATTATTAATTTTTACCGGTGTCATCGATTTCATGCTTTGATAATAATGATCCTTGATAAATAGTATACTTATAAAATCATCACTGAATAGAGAGTATTATTAATATTAGTTATGTATTTTTGTATGTAGAATGAATTAATTTATTTTTTGTAATAAAGATTTTATGTCAGTGTCTATTAATTCATCTATTACAGTTAATTATAACTCAGAATTTATTTGTAATGTTATAACGTTGTAAATAGTATTTTATAGTACTGTTTGCTATAATTCTTTTTTATATTTGTTAACATGACTTTTGTTATTGTAATCACTTTTATTACAGATATTACAGATTTTTAAAATGACAATTATCTAATGTTATTGTAATTATAACAAAGTATTCAAAATTTCTAGTTATTTTTCAAATCAGTGATACAGAATAATGATCAAAAATATGGAACTTTTTTGCATTAATTTATTCTGTTTATATTTTTTTGTTCATTTGCTACACTGAAAATTTATCGGAAGTTATATGAGTTATTGGAATTGTATGTGTTTCTATCAGCAAGATAAAAAAAGTCATGCCATTTTTAATTATCTTACAATTGTTTATACGAAAGTTGTAATATAAATTATTTTAAGATATACGTAATAAGAATATGATATTTGAACGCAGACTGTATATGTATATAAATACTGCGTCATCGCGAATCGCGAATCTCTTCAGTTGTGATCCCGACGCCGAAGGGCAAACATCGTTATGGAGCTCCGCACTGCATTTCTTTTAATCTTCGTTGGATTATGCCAACCTTCTTTGCAGCACATTTTTTTAAGTAAATTTCACGGAAATCATCAAAGACAATCGCGCTCTTGGAAAGAATTAGATGAGAAGTACAAATATGAAATTAAAACGATCGACATGCCAGTGTGTACACCTAAATATATACTTTTTAAAAATTTATTTATTATCTTGAAATAATGTTATTAAATTTACAATAAATAAAACCTCGTATCAATGCAATTTATTACATCTTTTATAGGTGGACCATTTTAGCTTTGCCATAAAAGACACATTCAAATTACGGTATCTTATGAACAATACTTGGCAGAAAGGAAATAATGCTCCAATTTTCTTTTACACTGGAAATGAGGGTGACATTGAAGGGTTTGCTCAGAACACTGTAAGGATTAACATAATACATTATTTCAAAGGAGACTGTTAATCATAAATATTTACAGGGATTCATGTATGAAATAGCACCAGAATTCGGAGCTCTGTTAATTTTTGCTGAGCATCGTTATTATGGACAATCCTTACCTTATGGCAATAAATCTTACTCAGATATTAATCATTTAGGGTATCTAACATCCCAGCAAGCTCTTGCTGATTTTGTGGATTTAATTCAATATTTGAGATCCAAATCAGAGTACCAACATAGCCCTGTTATAGTTTTTGGAGGCTCATATGGTGGAATGCTCAGTGCATGGATCCGTATGAAGTATCCTCATATTGTACAAGGGTTAGTAAAGAAAATTAATAAATATCATAACATACAGTACAAATCAAAGATTTTTCGTTTTACAGAGCAATAGCTGCATCCGCTCCAATATTACAATTTACTGCAGAATGTGAAGCATTTGCAAGAATAGTGACATCAGATTTTAATGTAGCTCATCGTAATTGCCCGAAACTTATCCGTAAATCATGGAATACGATTAGCAATATAACATCAAACGGTAAAAAAGCAGATCGATTATTAATTTTGTCATCTTTCTAAATACATTATTTTCTTAATAGATGAAGGAAAGAAATGGTTATCAGACAACTGGAAATTATGCCAGCCATTGAAAAATGAAAGTGATGTTAAGCAATTGAAATCTTATTTGGAAGATATTTATACAAATCTCGCTATGGTGAATTATCCGTATAAAGCTAATTTTCTGGCACCTTTACCTGCCTATCCTGTTAATGTAAGCATATTCATTAAATTCGGTTGGAAATTATTTTACTTATTTTTCGTTCTCATCGTAGGCTGTATGTAAACATTTAACAAATGAATCTTTAGCAGACAAAGATCTACTAGTAGCAATAAATAACGCAATTAACGTATTCACGAATTACACGAAAGAAACAAGGTGTTTATCCTTGAATGATTCTACACCACAATTAGACGCCGTTGGATGGCCTTTTCAATCCTGTACCGAGATGGTAATGCCATTGTGTACGGATGGTGTTAACGATATGTTTGAACCCAATCCATGGAATTTTGATGAATATTCCAAGGGCTGTATAAAACAGTATTCAGTTAAACCGCAACCTAATTTAGCTTGCGAGGAATACGGTTGTTCAGATTTATCTACCGTGACAAATATTGTTTTCAGGTATGTTAAAGTACATACTTACTGTAATGTGATTGTTGCTTTAATTATTTATTGTGTTTTAGCAATGGTTTGCTGGACCCATGGTCCAGTGGAGGAGTGTTGAGAAACATTTCTGCGTCGGCGGTAGCAATAATAATTCCTGAAAGTGCTCATCACCTTGATTTAAGGGGCAGCGATGCCAATGATCCTTATAGTGTTGTTTTAGCAAGGAAATATCATCGGTTTTTTATTAAGAAGTGGATTAAAGAATATCGTAAACGAGGTGAAACTTATTATTAAATATATGTACAAATTAATTCGTTACATTAATTCAAATAACAAATTTGAAAGGCACCGAATTAATTTGTGAAAGAATAAATACATATCTTTATAATGATTTATCTTTATTCGGTAAATAATATATAAAAAAGCATAAAATACATACATCGAATATAACAGCTTCCTTGCTTAAAGCAATAAGAAAAAGGAATTGAAAGTATTTTATTATCACAGTACTTAAAGAATGTACGTGTTTCAACATAATCTCTGTTTTATAGTAATAATCTGATTTCTTATTATTTTGCAAGCTTAATTCTATAAAAAAAATATTAACAAAAAGAATTGCGGTATCATTATCGGCTACAAAATCTAGTGTTTATCAAAATATACATAAATAGCAATGTAAAAGGACACGAAATTGCTAACGGTTTTTTTTTTGTTAAAGATTGCATTCCCATACATTTATCTAATATCTCTATACCGAACAAAACATTATTTCTCGTCACACAGGTACAGCATGTATTTCCTTCTCTAGAATTCTTCATACCAATTTTCTATTTAATAGTGATTCATATTGCATGCTATTAAATATGAAAATGTAAGTAGTTACCATGATTTTTGTCGTCTCGTATTTCACAAACATCACAGAGAAATATAAATGCATATAACATAATATTCAAGTTATTACGTTTATAAATATAACTCGAATCGAAAAAAATTTTGCTATATAAATTAGCAAAAATTAGTTAAGATTGATTAGAAATACTTTTCTTCATAGTTGTATAGTTATATAGCACAATAAGTGCAGTTTACTACATGATATCCTTTAATTCCGCCTAATTAGATGTACAAAATAATTCAGTGCTCTTTAATCGAAGATTTATTTTGAAAAATTGATGGTAATCATATTTTAGCGTCACTTTTTCAAATTTACAGAAGCGCAGGAAAATTGAAAATACTAAAGGCACCGAATTCATTTGTACACCTAATAGAATTAAATTTAAAATAAAGTTACACAAAATACTGATCTTTTTATATAAATAAAAATAAATTAAAATAATACTTGTAAGAAAAAAAAAAAAATGCTAGGAAAGGTATTTCTATCATTTTAAACATACTTTTAGTGTGGTGTACGCCTATGTGCTGTAGTTGGTCTTGGAACTCCAGATCGTCCTCTTATTTTCTTTGGTTGCACGAAAGTATTGTCGATTCCATTATTGTAGGAAAGATATATATTTGACATATCTGGTTGGGTTTGCTGTAAATAAGAAAGTATGAATTTTCTATCCATATTTTAAATTGTATATCAATAAATACCTACATCTTTGTTACTTCCTACCGGTGGCGTAACTTGTGCTTTGCGCATATTGTTACCAGTATATGCGACACATTTCAGTTGCCATTCCCCAATATCTTCGTTCCAATGAACATATCTCTCAATCATTGTCTAAAACAAAGTATCATTCATGAATTTGTTGTTTGTATATGCTTGTGATATCCATATTACGAACATACATACTTGATATTGAACAGGAATATAACTGTTTACTATCAGTTCCTGCAGTTGCAGTTCTCTTCCAATGCCTCTGACTCCTTCCAAAAGCCCTTCCATTTCTCTTTGATGTTCTTGTTGCAGATCGGACAACTCTGCTTTAACAGACATCAACATTGTATATACTCTGGCTAACTTTTTAGTCTTTCCTGCTGCTTCCTCTTGCAAAGAGGAATATTTCTCTTCTATGTCAATACGTTCAGCCTCTTTGGCTTCGATAGCTTTCTTCAGTTGTTCTTCTCTGCTTTTACGTTGTTCCAGTTCAATCGCTGCGGCAGCCAATAACTGCTCTTGAGCTTCCGCTTTTTCTAATAAGTTCTCACCTCCGACTAGAATCTTATTTTGTAAATTCTGCATCTTTTCTCGCAGTGCTTCTTTCTCGCTCCTAGAAAAATTAATGTTACATATATATTATAGTTTTTAAGTGATTCCCTTTGAAACTTACTGGGTTCTTTTTAATTCTATAACGTCTTTATCGTCTGGACTTTTATCTTCTCTCTCAGCTTTGTCTACTTTCTCAGTAGAATCCACATCTCCATCTTCGAGTTCCTCCATTGTTAATATTTGACTTCTTCTGCGTCTCACTTTCTTCTCGTGTCTGCTTTCTCCTGTCTCTTCAGAGTCCTCGGAATCATCTTCAGATTCTGTGACTTCAGCACCGTTCTCCTCTAGCTGCTTGCGTAGCTGTTCAATTTCCACTTGAAATTGGCGAAGCAAAGCGTCCTTTGGATCTTCATTAATCCTCGCTCTATTCTTTATATTCTTAGCACGGTTCGCATAGCGAAGGGTGCTTATAGTTTCGTCGTAATTTATGTCAGCTGGACTTATGTTTGCGCACTGCGTCAAAAAAAGTAAAGTTACAATAATTAGGTGTACACATTAATTTGGTGCCTTTTGAATTTGAATTTCTCCCGCTTATTTGTTCAAATATTACCATTAATGTTTTTGAGTTACCACCCAAGGAATCTTGAAGTAATCTCGTCAGTTTGGAATTTCTGTAAGGCACGTGTGAACTCTGACCGTCAACCAATGCAGATATAACATTACCTAACGTTGAAAGTGATAAATTAATCTTTGTAGCTTCTCTCAAACGAACCCCAGAAGCTTTCGTTTTGCTCTGTCTTTCCGAACCCTGAAACAAAATCAATTGAACATCCGTCTTAAAAATAAAAAGTAGAATTAATGTAATAACTGCATACAGCTAAATCAACTAAATGCAGTTTCCCCATTTTAACATGCTGTTCGCCATCCTCTCCTAGTTGACTAGATTCAACTGTAATTGTAAATATTGCATGGGATCTGGAACTAGACACATTCATTGCTGTAGCTCCAACGACGCCTATAAAAATGAGCATAAGTTAGTTCGGCATCAATGCAGGGATATTTATTGTGATACTTACGGTTCTTGTTACCGAGAGACATTATTCTGTCTAAATCATCGGCATTGTTTACCACATATCCGCTAAGATCTTTCACGAATACCCCAATGTCGGGTCTCTCTTTTACTTCCAGCCTGGTATTCTGATCCTTACCTAACAGATCTCTCACCTCTTCATTGTAAATTTCTAAGTACGTCGCTCGTACAAGGAATCTATTGAAAGAATATCTCTTTAAGTATTTACTTAAATTAAGAATAGCAATTTAATTAATGTATACATACTTTTGATTATCGTGAGCTTTAGCTATATGTCCAAAAATATGCGCAAAGGTATTTGGAATGATCCCTCTGAGCTGGGGGGATGTTTTAGCACCCGACATAGTGTAAGTCTTGCCAGTGCCAGTTTGCCCGTATGCAAATATAGTTCCATTGTATCCTTGCAGAACTTTGTCCACGATAGGTCTTGCAGTTTCATTGTAAATATCAACTTGCGTTGAATCGGTATCAAAGACAGCATCCAAACAGAAAACTTTTGGTGGTTCTCCTTGAGCTGCATTTGGATTCTCGACGGTTATTTCACTATTAATGGTGTCGACGCGTATTATGTTTTTACAGTGTCCGTCCAACTCCTTCCCATTTAGAGGTCGAACGCGAACCACCACTCTGACATTTTCTATTTCTCCGAGTTCCGTCGTACTGTCCTAAAAAATATATATTGAAGTATAGAATTTGACAGCTAGAACTGTCAAACGGATATTTGACAAATTGATGTACGGGCTTTAATTACATAGAAAGAATACTAACTTCGGTCCCCGGCATTGCGGCTCTAATCTCCTTTTTTAAAGTCACATAAAACCACGATTTAGAGCATAATATTTAATTCTCAAACGCTAGCAGACGACCTCCGTAAACAAATGGATCGATGTGTATAGTTGTATTGCATCAATGACTACAGATCCAACAAGACTGGATATACCTTTATTATCGAGGGGTTTTGAATGTGTGCCTCGAGAACGAGTGCCATCTGCTCTATTTTAGTGTAAAAATGTGAAACACTTAGCACTGCAACAGTCTAATGCACATTGACCATAAGCAGATTGCTTCAATACCAACAATTATACCCCATCACTCACTTTTAAAAAACAATTGAAAATAGCAAATTTTACAGCATCAGAACCGCTTTCAAATCTGCCTCTAATATTCCTGCCGTTATAATTGCGTCGGTAAAGTAGGGAAGGACACCCAATACAGCCGAAATAAGTTACCGACACTCCAAGTTCCCCTAAAATTTAGATAACTATTCAAATAGATAAGTATGATAACTATCAGTAGTTAAATATTAAGTTTAGAAGTTAATTCGAGGTCTGGTCTCATAATTCCCATTTTGAATTTAAATATTTTCCCGCGCTTCTATAAGCTTGAATGTTGCATATATAAGCAAGTGAGACGCGTGCGCCAAATCAGTACACAATTGAACTTCAGAGGGGGAAGTTCTCAGCTTCATTTTTCATTTTTTTATTTCCTTCAAATACAAGAGAATAATTCCAGACAAATGGCTTCTAAAAAGGATATTTATTTATAGATATATTTTAATTAGACCTGTTAACGCATCATTCGCCTTTGACGGAGATAAATTACACTTCCGCAAGGGTACGTTACATCCGTGACTCACGTACTACATACATACTCGTAAGTCTTCTATATCAGTAACGCTATAAGTAAACAAACAATGATCATTGAACATATCAATAATTTATTATCAAATCAACGTTACAGCAAATACCTAAGAAAAACTGAAAGTGCTAATAAAGATGAACACGGTAAAAATTCTTTTTTCATCCCCCTATTGTACAATTATAGTTAAGTTTTTTCACTGAATTTTTCTAACGCGTCTATATTTTTAGGGACGGTGGCCAATTTACGGAGACACACGCCGGGTGAAAATTGCATGCACGGAGGACAATGGGGTGCCCCTTCCCTAGTTGCTCCCCTTTCGTATCTAGTACCCTGGAGCCCCGTCCCCATCTACAAAGATTACTCGTTCGAAGCGAGACAGCAGCTGACGACTGTACAATGCAAGAGAACGCTACTGGCTGTTAGATTACAGCAGGACGCGTAGGCAGAAGGTAAGGACCTAAAGATATTGATGCATGAACGAGGCTCGTCATTAATACCTAAAGTACTGATTTGCCTTTAGACGTTCGCTACTCTTCCTTTTTCCCGGAAGTCAAGTAACAAATTTTCTTTCCCTGCTGAAAAAAAAAAAATGAACCAAAGGGATCTGTTATTGTAGTGGAAGTGAAGGAAGAAAGAAAGGGAACAGCGAAGAGAGGTTCTGTTACCTGGTCCCCTCTCCTCTCCCTCTGTGACGGCAGGTCAGTGTTGCTGTACCCGTGGACGGGAACGGATGTATCATCCGATTGTGCGTGAACGTTGTTCCTTGTTTGTGAAAATGTGACGTACGTCCTGGGATCATCAGCATCATCCTGGTACGTAAATACGTAGTTGCATGCATGGTTTCAATCGAACGGTGTCGCGCGCCTCATAGAGAGAGACCCAAGGGCAAGGCGTGAAAATGTAAGGCATTCGTTAAGGGGTCAGCGTCGCGTATGTCACGCGCGTTGCATCGCTGGAATTATGCACGTGCTTTGACCTATAATTAATAGCCATGCGATTCATGAGATAAGGGTAACATTTTCTTTAGACACTTTCTAAGGAGTATATTGTTGTTTCTGTACTTTTGTACAGGCTATGTTTTGTTATTCATTTCTCTGGTATGTTATATTTGTAAGAGAACAAATAAATAGCGACAGGATAATTTTAGACGCGTAAACTGGTGCATACCTCGCGCAACGCACGCTGCGTTTGTATAAATATGTAAATAGGAAGCTAGCCGTCGATTCCTTCGACAAAACAAGAACAGGTTTCAGAAACTTTACTAACCCTGTGAAAGGTGTTGTCTCCTAACATACCTGAATATCGGGAAACGTGCCTGACGAGAAAAATACGTTTTCTCATATGGTTCGATACATAGATACGTTTATAAATCCAACAATGCAATATTTTTAATATTACGTTATTGTTATCGATAGTATTTCAAATGCACAAAAGCGCGGGAGAATTTTTTAATTTCAGATGGTAATTAACAGAAGTCATCAAATTAATTAATATACCACAGAACGTATGTTATAATACTTTAATTATTTTAATTATCAACTACAATTGTTTCTGTTTAATTTTCATGTGCCGCATGATAAGATTAGATTATTGATAGTATTTCAAATGCACAAAAGCGCGGGAGAAATGTTTATTAATCTATTGTATTCAACGTGAAACGGTACAGTTCGTGAAATTATTAATTTATCGTTTCGATTATCGCGTTTAATGAACCCAGGGCGACGGCAGACAAGCGCTACATCCCTGAGGCAGTTTTTCTCGAAGAAATTCTCTGAAATTCTCCAGGCAGACGGTGCACCTTGCACCATAAAGTCGGACTCGTCGGATCGGCATGTTATGTACGGGTTGTGGCAATGTAATGCGGCATAGTAAGGTACGCCGCGTAAGACAGATGTTGGCCAAGAAACAAATAAAAGAAAGGGAGGGAAAGAGAGGTCGACGACTAACTGGTAGCTTGAATGCAATGCCACAAACTGACGAGTTTCGCATTACCGTCATTAGTCATTTTACCATATCATTTTGTAGAAAGTATTTTCCTTTAATTTAACAAAAATTATAACACCGTCAGGTTGTCAGGTGTAGAAATTAGAAAAAGAAATTTAAAATTCGTTTCGATAAGAAATTACGGTAACTTTAATTAATAATATAAATGATAACAATGAGAGGCACAGCGTGTAAACGTCGTCAGATCATAACAAATGTAGCCTGATAACGTGTTACACGCACAGTGCCGTTAAACAACGGTGCATCGGTCACTGTTTGAACACCAGCAGGGTCTGAAGGGCCGTAGGTAGAGTTACAAACACGCTTTTATTCCTGATATCGATCTAACAACACCATTATTCAATAACACTTAACGCCCCGACGGCGGACCATGGAGAGAGCCTCAATTTTAATATTCTCTATTTTATATCATCTTCATTTTCCAAATTTTACATTGTTCCTTTCAAAATTATTCTTCCAATAGATTAATTTAAATTAATTCCCAATAGGAAGTCGCGGTTACGGGGAAGAACGATGGCGTACTGGAAAACTTGTGTGCGATAGTAAGGTAGCGCAAGCGCGAATGTAACCAATAGTTCTCCAGAAAAACAGATGGTCCCCGGCATTGGTAGCAGCAACAATTTGTTCGCATTTAGTATCTGCCCGTGTGCCGGCAGAGAAAGATCCTTGCATTTCTCGCCGGCTTTGAGTGTAAACTTTCTATTTTGATACGTTTACTTTGTCTAAACAGTGGGTTTGCGTTTGAAGTGTTCGATGGAGAACGATTTTCTTTGATTGGAAACGTGTTGTGTCAAGCTTTCATTTGAATATTTATCGAGCGTTGAAAAGAGGTTCTCTGTCATACTTTCATAAAATTCTTGCGAAGAAAATTTTACATTAGAAGTTATTAATTTTCACATTTTTCAACGTGAGAGAAATTAATATTACGTTAGAATCGTGATTAATTTGTAACTGTTAGGTGTAGAAATGAATTCGGTGTCTTTTCTTGCTTTTTTCAAATTCAAATCGTATTCTCGCGCCACTTAAAATCTACGAAAGCGCGGGAAGATATTGAAATTTAAAATAGTCATGCCAAATGCACCGAATTAATTTGCACGCCTAAAATATTTATGAACGATAGGAAAGTATGAAATTGTCATTGATAAAAAAACAAGAGAAAATGAAGCAAGTGAGACACATTGTTGAGTGAGAGCAAAATTCTAGCTGCATCATCTGAAAGATTTGCAGTCAGTGTCATTTTTTTCGTGAGGTCATTGATTCTATCGGGACAAAAAGTGACCGCAGTGAGAGTGTCCCGGTTAGTGGAAAGAAATCAGTGGAAAGAAAAGTATGCAGTTACTTTCCAGCTTCATGGCGAGGCATCTGAAGCGAGGAGCATCCTTAAAGAAAGGTACAGCATTGAGAACCAACCAGGAACAATGCCAGAGTAATTACCCCTCCGTAGAAATACGAGCTCCTCTGTTTTTTTTTTTTTCCTTTTCCCTTAGAACTGTCGACTCTTTGTTCTTCCGGTTAATAGAGAACAATTAATCATGCTTTTCTCACGATCGAAAGAGTTAACAGTACTCCTTTCTCTTCCTTAATTATCATTTGAAATTTGAATCTCCCGCGATTCGGTGGGTTTGAAATGTGGCGCGAAAATATGATTAATAATTCAAATTGAAATTTCATTATTGTTCCTTCACAAATGACGCAATTCATGACAGAAAAGTATTACAAAACTCCCCATCAATATTCTCAATAGAAAATGACTAATTGATGATTAGTGCGAACAATGAACCCCAGGACAATAGCAGAAGGCGCATGATCTACGTTATTTAATCAATAACCACCAAAATATCTATCTGAAGTATTATATGAAAGAAGTAGTTATGATCACGCGATGTTACCGTTTGATCAGGAAAATAATTTTGTTCGTTGCCTTGTTTTTATATTGTACCTTTCTTTTTTATTTTATTCGCTTTAATGTAATAACAAGAAAATGAATTTCATCTATTGTTAACAGAAATTCAGTAACCGAAGTATTAGAGCCAGGAACACCTGGAAAGGTTGTCGTATCAATTTCTGTGCGAGAGGGTGTTTGTAATGCCAAGGTCTTGTCCTGCTTGTTCTCTTAAGTATATTGGGTGCTGCATGCGCGTCTACTGACATTTCAATCATGATACTAGATCTTCTAGAAATGTTTATTTAAGGCTATGATCACCCGTAGACATAACGGATCATTAATTTACCACACAGATTAACAATTTTATGTTTTTTAGCCAACCCGTATCTAAGATTGAAAATCTAGAGAAGGGGACTTTTGTACATGGGAAAAAGTTCTTGCGCCATTGTGTTTAGTGGATAAAAATCTCAACGAATGGCCGAAAATTTTTTTTCTCTTTTTTGCCACTTCCGTTCTGACCGGAAATGGCCGAGAAAGGGTTGACTCTAGAGCGTATCTCGCTCTAGTTCACTTTAGCTTCTCATTTTCTTTATTTTAAGAATGTTAAAGTATAATCAGATGGTGTTAAAAAAATTGTAAAGGAAAGGAAACGAGAGTATCGATTATGTTATTATCAGTTAGAAAGATTATGTTTCAAGGAGAAGGTGGGTCAGGAAGGAAAAAGCTTTTAATCTTGGATTCACGCGACGTTCACAACCGACGAACATAAATCGAAGTGGACAGCTTAACGGATGGATCAAACGAACATTCCGCATAAGACTATACTGTATTCGTTGTGTATGCACGTTGCGGTATCGTTAATTGCCTTCAGACGTTCGTCCTTGCGTACATATACCTCCTCCCATTGTAATTGATATGCAGAGAACATTATGCGAAGATCTTTTGATAACACGGTTATTACCTCGACCTTAGAAAAAACATTTACTCTGGGAGAGAACTTATCTCTGGGAGAGAAAAATGATACATTTTGTTATTTTCAAAGAGTTCTTCATCAATAGTGATTAAATTAAAGAATTTCTAATAATGTATCATTTTTTATTTTATTTACAGGAAAACGTGAAAGTACTGGAGGAGGAAATCCGACAAACAATTGTCCATCTTTTACAGGCTGTTCAAATAGAGGAACTAACAATACCACCGGTTACGGTAGTGCACCGGGGGGTGCCAATATGACCCCCGAGGATACTGCTCCCGATGAAGAGTTCGCTATAGCCATTACTCAGAAAACTCAGGTAAACTGGTTCGGTTATAGTAGGAAAATGCATAGAAAAAATGCGGTATTAGTAATTTAAAACAAAAGGATAAAAGTAATTAATTTTCTGGCACATTATCTTGCACTGGTCATTACTTGATCAGGAATGATTAAAACGAAGGCCACCTAGATTTCACGCACTAAAAAGAATGCAAGAATATATTACTTTAAGAATGCGTTACCGTAACGATCACGTAGTATGTTAATGAGCGATTTGTAATGCTTAACATCAATTGCATGTAGCATTACAAATATATTTTTTATACATCATTATTGGTAGCTATTAAGTAATAATAATTACTGTTTACCATAAAATTAATTATTGAAAATTGCATTGAAAAATTGATTTCTATTAAAAATTCATTCAATTTTTCGCGCTTCGGTGCATTCGAAAAGTAGCGCGAAAATATAATAACGATAATTAGAGTTACTAGGACTTTTGAAAAATAAATCTTCATTTAAGAAAAGAAGACGTCGAGTTTATTTTTGTATCCTGTGTTATTAATAAAATAATCATTATCGTTGTCATTATCGCGCCACTTTTCAAATTCACCGAAGCGCGGGAAATTAAAATTTATAACGAAGGATGAATTTTATTTCTTTATTTTTTTTTCATAAAGAAAAGTAGCAAATATTTACGCAATAGTAATATCACCTATCCTTTCAAGAACGTAACACTTCATTAAATTAGAAAGTTGCCTATTGCTAAGGGATAAAAAGCTGGAGATGAAACCTTGAATCAAGGATATTCCAGAGCACACACACGTTTTACTTTTTTTGTTTGTTTTATGTTAATTATTCTATGAAGAAACTTTCTTCGGTACTTTTCCCTGGAGAATTCATTCCTGAATAGGAACAGCTAACCTTTTGCCCTAAGCGTCTGTGAGATTAGGAATGTAACGATTAAAATCACTAGAGTTCCATGAACTTCTCACCGGAAATCATTCGAGTAATTTCCCACGTACCTTTTCAAAGTATGAGACGATTTCATGGCTTAAAAGTATGACTTATTAAGGTATGAGAAAAATCGCAAATTGGCTAATTCTTAAAAATTCGTAAAACTTTTCTTGTCGTGCTGAGATAGAAATTAATTCGCTTCTGTAGCACTACTATTTGAAATTTGAATCTTCAGCACAAAATGGCTAAATGTAACATTCTCAGACGGAAGAAACTGTTTCTCTCCATTCCTCTGACGATGCTGGCTATTCGAATCACGTAAATTCCGTTGAAAAATTTCTACCTTTACAAGAACACTGAAACTATGTAGCTGCGTGCGATGCATTTCGTATTAAACGTAAAACAGTCAGGAGTTATTTAACATTCTTTTATGTGTACAAACTATTGTAGAGAAATGATAGTACTGTACCATTATCATAATTTATGTATGAATATGAAGAATAATAGTAATGCCATTCTATATTCTGTATATATTACAGACAGGAAATAGAAATTTTAAAAATTCACAGTTCAATCTTTTTTATTTTCCAAATGAAGCTATATTTACATAAGATTTCTTATAGTGAAAAAAAAATATATACTGATCGAACTGAACCTAATCTCCTCCTTTTTCGAAGTCGGTTAAAAGAAGAAACACGAAATATTTTCATTTGAATCAGTTCCATTTACTCCCGCCACTTAATCTGATCGTCTCGGGGTTAATGACGTTTTCCATGACGCCAAAGATACTTGCACGCGATGTTGCGTGAGTACACGCGAATCATGTCCTACATCCCAGCAGGATGAAGGAATAATGATTTTTATCGCATACAACTTTTCCTTTGTTTCATTTTCTTTTTTCAAACTCGACAAAACGAGATCGATAATAATGCATAAAATTTCAAGCTGTAAGAATAGTTTTATTTCTATTTATTTTCTGCAGAGGGACGCAGAAGCTATCCGCGGGGCACTGTACCTAGGCGTAGCCCTTGCAATTGCATGGATAATAGGTGCAACAGGACTTTCCCTGGCATGGCTGGTACTGGTCTTAGCATTGGCAGGGACAATACTGAAAGCAAGGATCTCTCGTCTCCTTGAATCAATTCTTCAACAAGAATTAGCGAGATTGCGTAGAAGAAGAGCTTTGTATAAAGATGAAACTGCTGAATGGCTGAGTTTGCTTCTCAACAGATGGTACATTACATTAATTTTCTATCGGACCGATTTAACAACGCTACGCTTCTAAATGATTCATAATTTATTCAGTTCTTATTTTCGCGCCAATTTTCAAATCCACGGAAGGGCGGGAAAATATTTAAATTTCAAATGGTAATAATAAATTCACCGAATTATTGATTCGTTTTTAAATATTATACAAAGTTTCTGTATTGATTTTACAATCATATCAAGGTGTTAATAATTTAAGATGATCCCAGTGAAATTGAAACAGTGTTTATGGATATATCGCGTGATTGTTAATGATCCCAATATCCACCGTAGGTGAACGAACGTTCACGAATCAATACTGTATAGGTATTTGTAAACATTCCACATTCCTGAGTGTATAACTGGCGCCTTTCACATTTCACTGCATACGTACAGTGACCTGTAGTTGACAAAACTGTGGCTATCGAGTCACTATTATAAACCAGAATCATTGAATTTATATTATTAATAATAAATTCAAAGTAATTGTTGCAAATAATTAATCTATCATTAAAGTAAATTTGTAACATATTTCAATTTGTATTTGATGCTGTTAAAATTCATACAACAGATTGCACCTGCTGCTTATACATTGGGCACAAGTGAAATTCCAACTTCGCCAACATTTTCTCGTTTGTCAGGATCTTGAAGACGTTAAAACAACATGTGAGAGCTTGTCCGTATAGTGTACTACTTATTTGGATAGTTGATAGACCTGTTCGAACATTTCTGGACCTACCACTCGCTCTCCTTTGCTTAAAGGAACATTCCTTTATTTCTTTTATGAGAATTAAATATAGTTTTATACTCCTATTTTTCCATTCATCGAGTTTTCTTGATTATTTGAATTTTCCGCGCTTGCGTGGATTTGAAAAGTGGCGCAAAAATATAATTTGAATAAGTGAAGTTACAGCGATTCTTTCATAATAAATTCTCAATCCATTAAGTGTATTAAAAAGAATGAAATGGCTTTTGAATTCTAAAAATGAACGTCTATCACTAGTACGTTGAATATTACATTGATTTATGACCTACTTTACTGTCTTTCAGATTTTATCTAAATAGAATCTTGTCATGAAATTGTATCTGTATTTCCAATTAAATTTTAATGGGTTCACGAGTTAATCGTTTTAAGTATACGTATTACTATAAGAAATTAGTAGCGTTTAATCGATTAACTTTTCTTGTTTATGATACAGGTGGAGGTTCAGCGCTGCCAGTATATTTTCTTTAGCAAAAGAAAGGCTGGAACCCTTGTTGAACGAAGCGAAACCAGGAATACTTGGTGTGCCTCCATTATTTCTTTTTCTTTTTAATTAAACGATAAATTCATTGAATTCCTATTATTAAATGGACTCATTGTTCTAGGACCATTGGAACTCAGAGAACTCACTCTTGGTGAGCAAACCCCTTGTGTAACACGTGTGAGAACGTTAGATTACACAAATGACGATGATGTTCTGGATGGTCAAACGGGAGAAACTAAATTATCCATTGAAGCCGATGTACGACTTGATTGCGAACAATTTCGTATGCTTATCACGACAAGATTGTTTGGAAAAGGGTTGGTATATCTTTTTAAATTCACGCGCCAATTTTCAAGTCCATCAAAGCGCGAGAAATTGAAATTTAAAACAAGTAATTAAGAAGGCAGAGAATCAATATCATCTGGTGATATAAAAGTTTTATATTTTGTGCTTTAGCAATATTTTCGAGTCAGAAAATTGTATTTCAAGATCATCTTAAACTTCTTCACTGACAATTTAAATTAAAGGGTTGGTATGGACATCGACCTGGCTGTGGAGAAGCTCTCGCTTTCGGGAACAATCCTGGCCACCCTGACCCTCAACTCCATGGCCCCGTTTCCCCATGCAACCTCCTTAAGCGTGAGCTTCCTGGAGAAACCAGACGTTTGGTTCAGCGTGAGGATTTTGCGAACCGTACAAATGATGGAGATGCCTTTAATTAAGACCTGGATTCATGCCGTGGTCACGGACGCTTTGGCAAGCTGGATCGTCGATCCGGGTCACCTGGAGATGAATCTGAGAGCGCGAGAGAGACCAGGACCTAAATTAGATTCCACGGCTAATTCCATACCACAAGGGGTGCTCACTGTTGTTCTCTCTCAAAACGGCTGTTCTGGTAATTAGTGAAATGACCAATCACAGAGATAGTTAAAAAATTATCGTTAAATATTAATTGTAGCTTCTATCGGGGACGAGGTGAGGTGGCTCGTTGTGACAATTGGGGATCAAAGAATAGTTATGGCTCCTTTAAATCCTACCTGGAATGAAGACGCTTCGTTCCTAGTGGGTGCGCTGGATAATGAGAAGATTTTAATTAAACTGAAAGCGAAGAGACTTGTCAGTACCATAACTCTAGCTCAGTTCGAACTCCCTCTGGGATCCTACAATTGGGACGGTTCGCAGGTGTAAGTAGTTGATAGTTAAACTAAAGATTCCAGGGGAATTGATGTTGTTCATTCGACAGGATTGAGACTGTACTGCAACAGAAGAAACCGTCTCGCAACAGTGCTAACATTCCAAATATCAGTGCAAGATTAGAATACACAGCGCTTCCAAAATTGGACCCAGATTCACCGCAGCCAGAGGTGTCGGAGGATAATTCACACTTGGCCGGTAATTATAAAAGCTTTCTCGAAAATAACTTATCGTAAATGAAATTTGTTTTAAATCCTACTATTAAATGTACAAATTAATTCGATGCCTTTAGCGTTTCGGTGGTTTAAAAAATTGCGCGAAAATAATTTCAATACTTAGAGTTACTGTGGTTTTTGAAAAATAAATGTTCAATGACTAAGAGATAGGGCATCGAATTAATTTCTAGAAAAACATAGTGTTATCCTGTATGGTGTTTTCAGTGCCTCGAAAAAGTAATCGGACCCAAAAAGCAGGTAAAATAAAAGAAATATTGTAAGCACGATGAAAAGAGTGATATTTCTGCATGGATTCATTTATGTCTTGTACTAGGCTGTTGCACGCGAAACAATAATAACAGTAATGAATGATTTTTTTTATTTATAAACTTTCAGGAGTGCTTGTGGTTTATATTCATTCAGCAGAAAATCTAAACGGCGACAACCAATGTAATCCCTATTGCATGTTATTTAACAACCGTAAGAAGGTACGTTTACAATGTTTGTACTTGTAAAAAGAAATTTTATATCTATTTTTATTTATAGGTGAAAACTACACATTATGTGCGAAATACTACGTCTCCGTGTTGGGAAACCAGGGCACAGTTTCTCGTTCAAGATTACACTCAAGTGTCGCTCAGCTTTGTTGTATATTCTTGGAATATATCAAAGTCTACTGATACCGATATGCTTGGACTAGCTATATTGTCTTTAAATCAAGTACGATGGACTCTTTGGGTCTCGCGATTTTTAGGTAAAGCACTGTCCGATTGAATTTTATTTAACGGAATGATGTTTTCTTTCTAGGAAAGCACATGGGTAGTTAGAAAAGAACTGACTCTCAGCGGCTCGAATAGTGTGTCTACGATGACGGTTTCTGTGTTATTCTACCCAGTGAAAAGTGTGCAGCAGGTGATCACTAGTCGGAGAAGCAGCTTGTCTTTCCCAATGTCCGACGACGAACCTAAATCGAAGAGAAACAGTCTACCGTGGATGCAACAGGCAGTTAGTAACATTATTTCTTAATACCACCAGCAATGATATGTTTTATATATTTTTAATTATTTACAGAAGCTGTTATTGACCCACAAGGACATAGATCCTGCCTCATCAGACGTATCGAGCCTTCTTTCCACAGGAAGCGGCCTGATGGAAGTCACTCTATTAAGAGCGAAAGACCTCGTAGCGAAAGATTTGAATGGATTCAGTGATCCGTTCTGTGAATTGAAATTAAACAACGAAACAAAATATAAAAGTAGTATAAAGAAGAAGACGTTGAATCCATGCTGGGACGAAAGTTCCATCATGGGTTTACCTCGAACTGGAGAGACCTTGGACGTCGTATTATGGGATCATGATACTTTTGGAATGAAGGATTACCTTGGAAAAGTATCTTTGACTCTCGACGACATTAGGAAAATGTCCAACAGCGATCAGTCCCATTGGTTCACTTTAAGGGGAACCAAAACGGGATCTGTGGAGTTGAAAATCAAGGTCTTGTCCGAGGAATGTGAGGTAGAGAATTTCTATTAATAATAAATATAAATTCACATTAAATTCATGGTATTTGCAATTGCTGAAATTGTATTTTCGCGTCACTTTTCAAATCTACAAAAATTTTTATATAGACACAGAGTACGTATGCTGCCAGCAACATCAGTGAAAGTTCAACGCAATTGAACATTGAAACTTCTGATACTGTGTCGAACATCATCAGGAGACCCTCAATGGAGAAAACAAAGATGAGACTACATTTGGATGTTATACCTCCTCCTCCACCCCCGCGCACAGTCACTCTGTTGAAACCAACCGTTTCTAGTCAAACTGGTAAATTATTTTACAACTTCTATCGTTTGCATAAGACCTTTACAATATTCAATCATTTGAAACAGACAAAACTAGTATTGGAAGCAAAGATTCGAACGAAATGAATGGAAACCAGAATTCGTGGATACCTAGGGTCGTCACAGAATCAGTAGCCGATGACACTAATGGTTCAAAATTAAGAGAACGAAGATCCTCTCATAACAGTTTAACTCCAAGTCCTGAACAAAGTTTTGGTAAAAAATTGCCCCAATATAACAGCTTTCGTGTTATGAAACAGAAGGTATATACATCATTTTCCCATGCCACTTTTCAAATCCACCGAAACGCAGTAAATTCAAATAAAAAGTATTGGAAATATACACTGTATGATTAATTTCAGATGAAGAGGGGATTAAAACTACGCAGATTTCGTTCCGAAGTAAATATAGAAGACAAGAACGAGTCTAAAGGTATAACATTGAGCCTAGAGCCAAGAGGAGGAGGAGAAGCCGATGCTACGGAACTTTTACAAGGGTCTGGTTTGGCCCATGCTGTGTCACAACCTGATATGCTTGGTAGAATAAGACAACCAAGTCCACGTTTACGGATCAGACCAAATGGTACATGAATTGCATTCACTAATACTTAACAATTATCGTAAATTAATTATGAATGATTAAACAGAGTTGAAAGTTGTTAATGGCACCAAGGAAAGGTATTCTGGAATAGAGGGTAAAGTGTTGCAGGCCCAAGGCCTTCACGTTGCGCACATTGCCCAGTTGTATTGCAGAATTAAACTCCAAACGTGAGTATACATGAAATATTAATTTATGAATAATTTATGAGACTCCTTATTAGGTGCACCAGTCCTGATAAAATTGCGTCAACGAATGCTGGTAAAACATTGGCAAAGTCTAGATTATTACCAGCGATGCCCAATCCTCAATTCAGTATAGACTTTCATATTGACGGTGACAATGTTCCAAGACAGTCTTTATTAATATTTGAAATCAGAAGCGCTAGTAAGGAATTGTTGGCCAGCAGACGCATAACTCTTCATGAATTATTAGGTACGTTTGAACAATTATTTTATACTTTGAAAAACGATTTAATATTTCGTACATTTAGGTGTTTCTGCACCAACTGATGAGATTCATACGTGGCTAGCATTAAATAATGGAGCATCGTTAGAAGTACAAATTGCTCATGGAAGGGAATTGAAAAGTAAATCCACAAAGAAATTGTTCCGCTCTTGGTCTGTACACAGAATAGGAAAGATATAACATTGTTTATATATCTGTTAGGTGTGGAAATGAATTCGGTGCCTTTTCTGTTTTTCACATTCTTACGCTACTTTTCAAATCCACCAAAGCGCAGGAAATTCAAATTTAAAAGGCGTCGAATTAATTTGTACAGCACCGCGCATGGCAGGCTTCCTCACCCCCGAAGTTCCCGCCCTTTGACAACGTAAAAAAGGGGGCCCCATATATTTATGGGCAGTGACTACAGATCCAACAAAACTGGACATGCCTTTGTTCTCCAGGGATCATGATTTTGTGGATCCCTCAGGTGAGGTGAGATCTGCAGATACATAGTTGTGTGTGTCCGCAGATGCAGAGCACAGTTGTCATGACAGCTATTCCTGTCTTTCCAGTCCCCCTTTACCACACCTCATACTTGCAAATGAAAAGACACAATTTTGATTCCCTTTAATTCAACTTCTTAGAAATCAGTCATAATCAGCATAAGACTGAAAATTATTATAATAACTGATTGACAAAGTTGTATTTTAAAAAGACCGCCATAAATTATTTTTACATTCGATTATCACGCCATCTATACAACAACGGCTCAAACTACTCAACGAGTTACCGATCGATTTCCTAAAACAGAACACTAGCGCTACCTATCAGGAATTAGTGGAAACTACTTACCGACTAGTTTCCGGGATTCCTCGATAGGTGGCGCAAGTGTTTCCCTCAGAAAGTCGATCGATAACTCGATGAGTAGTTTAAGCCATTTCTGTATAGATGGCGCTAGGGTGGCATTTGAAATTTTTTTAAACTCTCGAACTGGGAAGCTAATAATAAAAAGAAGCTTTCCTCTACGGAAGCCTACCACACTTAATACTATATACCTAATAAAAACGGTACAAATCTGGATGTACCCATTTCACATTTTAAATGTTAATTATGTACATATATATTTATATTAACAATAAAAGATTGTAACATTTTGTACCATAAGATGTGTATAAGACAATATCTGAAACTTCGAAATGCAGTGTAAGTAATAATCTTCGATTACTTTTTTAAATCAATTTCGATAGTTAATCTGCAATATAAAAAATGTTTATTTACCACCACCTACTATACAACTTACCACTTAATTGTGTAATTGTGTCCATAACATATTTTGTCAGCTTTGCAATTTATTTATGCACTAATTTACAAATACATTTTATACAATATCACAATTATTTATTATTGTAATCATTGTATTTAAATACTTTCGTAATGGTATATAAAAGGAAATAAAATATACATCACGTATATCATGAGCCTTGTGTTAAACAATTTTGTTATTCTTGAACGTGTATAAATAAATACTTCTTTGTTACTTAACAATACTATACAAATATATCTTTCAATACATTTAACGAGCAACAAATCAAAATATAAATTCTGAGGAGATTATAACATTGCGTTTAAAGCATAAAAAACATAATATATCTGCAATGTTAAAATATTAGGTGTATAAGCTAATTCAATGCTTCTAGCGTCGCTATTTCAAATGAATTTATACACCTAATATCTTGCATTTCTTATTAATAAAAGATAGTTGTAACATTTAACTTTTAGCCACACAACAAGCATTCTCACATTTATACATTATATCAAATATTAATATAAATAGTTAAAAACATAGTGTAAAAACGTATCTATATGTATCTCAAAATGCAAACCTGCAGCATTGTTACCATATCATTTAATGTGTAATGTGTGTATGTTTAATATATGTTTTTCCAAAGAAATTTACAGGTACCATGAACAGTTCACATTAACTCATTTGCCACTGAAACAATATAAAATTCATACAATGGTACAACATTTGTAAGTATACATTAAGTTTGTTTCATACCTTTAAATTACTTTGCACGTTCATGTTACCAGCCTCTTCTACTCGCTTGTCTCGTTGTTGATCTAACTTTTCTTGTCTTTTAACAGCATCAATATTTTTAATACCTCTGCTCTGCTGCTCAGCAATCCTTCTTTCAGCAGCTTCCACCTGCTTTCTTCTTCTAGTTTCCTAAGAAGAAATTTTTATTGTAATTTGTAACACATATAGATTTGTATCGCGATCTTTGACTTATGCCCTCATTAGTATAACTAGGTAAGGTCCAAGATGAATCTGGTTTCTTCCAAGATGTCAACCAGCTCAAATTTTAACACTTAAAAATTTTTAAATTTTTAGCGGGTGGAGGGAGGGAGGGGGACAGTTGACAGTTTAGGAAGAAAGAATCAAATCACCCTGAAATTCTGTAATTATACTTAGTTACACCAATATTTGTCCTCACTATAAAAAATGAAACACTAATTATTTCTCTAAATACAGTTAATTAAACAATAGCAATATTTACGTGACAAATATTTATAACCTGAAAATTCCGATCATACCACATCGGGAGTTAAATCCTCGCACGAAGTTGATGGTTTACAACAAGACATACACAGATTCCCCATAATGTATATAACACAATTCTCTTTCAATTTCTCTAACAAGATAATTTTTTCAATCCACAACTTCCAACGGAGAATATTTTCAATCAATAAACCTGTCGTACAAGATACGTGTCCGTTCAATTAGAGATGGCCAAGGTTCCTCTGAGATTCCCCTCCACTATCATAAATTCTCCAAAAATGATTTAATTCAAAAGACTCTTTAATTAAAATCCTTTTTCTAATAACTATTATTATAACTTTATAAATACCTAATCATTTGCATTGAATTACAATCAATTATATACAACATGAGCAGAAAAGTGAAGTACATAACAGATAAGGTTAATTCATAAAACGAAAAGATATCGAAACTTGTGTGGTTCTTTATTAAAAACAGATGTCGTGATGAGGTGTTAAAAGTGTTTCTACGCAAAATACTTCATTTGAATATCCAACCAAGATGGTATCCTCATGGTGCTATTTAATTCTACCAGTAGTATTGTTCATTGGACTGCTTAGAAAATGTCGTGAACGTACCTGGGGAACGTGCAAAAACACAGACAATTTGCAAGGTCGAGTGTTCATAGTGACAGGTGCTAATTCAGGTATTGGTAAGGAGACAGTGAAAGAATTGGCTAAGAGAAAAGCGACAGTCATCTTGGCTTGCAGAAATTTACAAACTGCTAAAGATACTGTGTCTGAGATTCGCAGTCAGATGACAAATGGAGAACTGGTAAATCCTAGGACTATATCATAAAAACTATATATATTAATCTACAATATTTTTTCAGGTGCCGATGAAACTGAACTTAGCATCTCTTGCATCGATCAGAGAATTTGCAACAGAAATAATAAAAAACTTTCCCGAGGTTCATGTATTAATTAACAATGCTGGAGTATATGTTCCTTTCAAAGAACATGCATCAACAGAAGATGGATTTGAGATTCATTTTGGAGTGAATCATTTAGGTCATTTTTTGCTCACCAATTTGCTATTTGAGCATTTAAAGAGAAATGCACCAAGCAGGTCTGTTGTCAAATCACAAGTATAAATATTTTATTTATTTATTTATTGAGATCTTTTTATAACAGGATCATCATTGTTACCTCAAAACTCTTTGAATCTGGAGCTATTGATTTTTCAAACTTAAATGGAGAAAAGGGATTGATAGTGAAAGGACGTATGAATCCAGCTTACTGTAACTCTAAATTAGCAAACACTTATTTTGGTATTGAACTTGCAAAAAGAAGTGAAAACAGTGGTGTTAATGTTTACATGGTTTGTCCTGGATTTACTTATACTGGATTATTCAGAAATGTTAAGAGGAGTTGGTTCCATTACATTATTTTTTCACCGGTCGCTCTGTTATTTTTGCGTACTGCGAATCAGGTAAATATTTCTGCACATTACATATAAATTTGTGGAGAATATTATATTCCATACTTTTTTTTTTTAGGGTGCACAAACAGTGTTACATTGCGCAATAGAACCATCTTTATCCAACGAAAGTGGTAACATTTACCGTGATTGTAAATTGTACAATTCAAAGAAAAAACTAGACCCTGATGTAGCGTTACGTTTATGGGAAACCAGTGCAAAATTGACTGGTATTAATGAAACTTTGAAATGAACATTCAGTGGCCATTTAATAGGTGTACAAATGAATTCGGTGCCTTTAGCACTTTTCCGCGCTTTGATGGATTTAAAAAGTGGCGTGAAAATATGAATAATTTGTACACTTAATATACAGTGGTGGACAAAAATATCATCATTTAAAAAAGGTATTCTGGTTTAAGTGATGGTCTTACACTTTTGTCCGCTATTATATACGTAAATACTGCAGTGTGATAACATACATATATTGCCATAGATCATATAAGAAATAGTAAAATATTTTTCTTTGTGAATAAAATACACTACTTAATTTTTCAAGTTAATAGAATGTAAAAAATGTTGTAAATTCTATAAAATACTCAAAACACAATAAAAAGATTTCCATAATTTTTAAATAGTATTCCTGTAATATAGAAAGAAAAATGATTATATTGAATCATTTCAAATCTATTTAAATATATATACAAACATTGTTTTGCATTACATGGATATTACGGAAACTTAATGATATTGCCAGCCCACTAACAATACCAACTTTACATTGTAATATCACAATTAAAAAAATATAAACGTACGCTAATCTTGATATCATATGTAGGAATCATTATTATGAATACAAAGCACAGCTATTAATTGCACGACTACCATTGCACACACGCCCGCGCGCACGCATGCATAATACCACCCATTATACTGTACCTGAAATTTTTGTAAAATTTCAAAATAATCGAAACAAATATACAGGAACATTATCTTTCCGATTTTTACACAATAACAAAATTTTTTCTACACAATATATGGCATCATTGACGAAACTACAATTTTTGGATGGGTGAGGCTACGTCCCTTAGAAATTTTGAAATTTTTGAGTGTTGAAATCTTAGATTGGTAAGGGGGCTAGACCCACCCTGGCCCCTACCTAGTTACGTCAATGCATGGCATTTTGAATTTACAGCATTTAAATATCAACTAACAGCGCTGTTTTGTATTCCATACAATGCAATAATTACAGTCGTGGTTTCATTACTTTAAAACTGGTTTTCTTGTTGGCTAAAGCCTCGGTGCGTGCATATACATTCTCTGAGCTACGTTTAATAATGTCTATGTATTCGCTGGATGCTTGAAAATCACATTTGTCCGTTTCATCATGTGCCAACTAAAATAATAACATATTATATTAATGATTGAAAAATAACACGGTAGCAGAAATTTATATATATATATATTCACTTACTACTGATTCATTATAGCACCAGTTTTTAGAACGTAAAGAATCTACATTGCCCTTTCTACGGCAAAAAATTTCATCATTCAATATATACAGATTTATTTTTTTGACACAATATACTTACTTTGATTTTTCTAACGTATCTTCCGGATAACTGCAGATAGAACTTGTTCTCTGTTTCCTTTCAGTTTCTTCGTAAGTGCAAGACATTATATCATCTAGAGATAAACAGGACTTATTATACGTTTTGCTTTCTACAGCAATTCTAGAGCTATCAGAATTTTGCGAAGCTTCATTGCCAGAATTATAATCCTCATCGTGTCTCCCATTTTTCAATGCGTTATCTATAACATCGTTGACTTTTAAAATTTCATTAATATCTGAGATTTCGTCTTTCTTATCGTTCGAATTGTCATCTTCGTTTTGACTGCTGTTGAGTGCCATTTCACAGCTGCTTATTGAGTTTGAACTTCTATCTCTGACGCTCACTGAACATTCGAAACTGTCCGTAACATTGGTTAATTTAGAAACCGATGTGGGTATCATAATTTCAATATTACTTTCTATCGCAACTGGAGTATCTTCAACGTTACTTATGTTACTTATAATAGCATTGTTTAATGTTTCGTTACTGCTATTGCTTGACCTATCTTTAACTAGTACCAGAGTTTTATTGTCGATGGCACTTTCTTCTGACTTACAAATTCTTTTTGATTGACTGCCTAAGACGAGGGACTGTATAGGTTTATCTAAACCCTGATCCAATGAAGAACCAAGCGAGGATTTAATGTTTTTCAATTGACTCATGGATCTTGACGAACGGTGGCATTTTTCAAAGATTATTTTCTGGATCGGTGGAGTTACGCTCTGTTTCCCATTTCCAACCTCTATGTCCAGAGATGAAGTGGAATATGTTCGCTTTGAATTATCCAAGCTGTAGAAAAACAATAGTTTTATAATTGAATTATATTCTACAAATTATAATAATGATACCACGCACTATGATTGATTTGGTTTAATGTTTATTAATGTAGCAAGGTTTGGCAAAGTTGCCCTCAGGTCTGTTGTTGGAAGGCCACAATACCATCTTAACTGGGCTATATTTTTATTCAACAAATAAACAGCATAACGAAATTGCAGTTTATCTTTACTTCTTGCAAAAAGTGGAAATCTGAAAATATATTTTACTAGTTATATCGTTATTCTCGCGCCAATTTTCAAATTCATCGAAGATGAAAAATAGATACTTACTGTCTCTCGTTGTCTGGTAAATTGTCTGTAATATGATCTATTACTTTGCTACGTGATCCATAATGTATAATAGGGTACCTAGTAGGTATATTAAGAAAGCTAGCGATCATTTGAGTAGTATGTGCCACAAATCCCAAGGCTACCGCGACTTCAGTATCATTTGATAATTCTAAATTCTCGCTGTCAGGCAAATGTACTTCGTGTATTTTAAATTTTCCATTTCCATCCTACATAACATTTATAAAATAGAAACTATATATTTTGAATTTACCTTTCTATTGAGTAAGCGCTTACCTGGGAAATTGGATATATTAAACTTAGTTCTGAAATTAATTGTCTTCTTCTGTAAGCAAGTTGACTACTCAATTGAACATATGTCTCTCTTGTATCAATTTGAATTTGTCGCCATTCGTGTAACTTCTCAATGTCTTTGTTTAGCTCCCTATACCTCGCCATCAAATCTGATCCTATAAAATAATAAATATAATAAACATAAAATGCATATTATTTAAGAATTCATACCATAATCTTGATTTTCTTCCAAGATATTAGAATGCACTTGATTCAATGCTCTCAATTCCCCCATCTTCCTTGCTCTTTCTTGTTCCAATAACTTTGTCCTAAACCTAGCCATTTCCAATTCCTTACGTATCTTCAGTATTTCGGCTTTTTTCTCTCTATTTACCTTACGAGGCTGAAACAATCTATTCAACGAAGACTGAGGGTACTTCGGAGTGTGAAAATTTTCTCCCGAAGCAATTTTCATCCGAAGGGCTTGAACTGACTCTGTCTGCTGCTTTAATGCTTGCATTTTGTTCCTCAAACTGCTTAATTTACTCACAGTATATGTATCCCTTATTTCAGAGGTGTTTACTTTTATATGTAAATATCTTTTCAATTCAGGAGTTTCAACAAAACAGAATACTGGAGTAAAAAAACCTCCATGGAATTGAAAAATTAAAGAATTTTGTTTCAAAACATTATCTAAGTTGTTTGGCAGTTTTGGACCAATATATGCCAAACCAGTAAATGATATTCCCCATGTGAATACAGTCACGTCGCTCTGTAGATTATCCACAATCGCCCTTTTCCATAGTCTTACAATAATTTCTATAAAAAAGATTGATAAAATTCCCTTTATGTTTCATACAATACATTATAAGAAATTTTGTTTTGATATGAATACCTATAAACGCATGATCACATTTAAGGTACTAACAGACTATAAAGCTCACCACTGGCAGTAGAGTAGCCGGTGGCATGTATGGTTGGTACCTCGAGACAGGACCATTTGGGGTTTGTGTTATCAATTATCTCGCTTGTATATAAAGGTGAAGACATGCTTGTTCTATGTAGAGTATAGTAGAACCAACAGACTTCGTTATTTGTATTCGTCTTTAAGTTACATCCTATTATTTGTATAAGATTTCTGAATCGTAACTGAAAATTACATGTTCCATTAAATAAAAAAGAGTTGTTTAGTTATTGAAATATAATTACCTGCTGAGTAGCAAGGGGTAGCCAAGTCTTATATCTTGGAACAATGCGAGGTTGCAGGGTTAAATCCAAATCTCTAACAATGCTTCTTGTCTCTGAAACCTCCATTGTATACCTTCATAATACATAACAAAATTTTTAGGTTAGCCACCTACATACACGCGTATGCATGTAAGTATGTAATTTATGTGAACAATGAAGATTAAGAGGAAATATATTTCTTTCGCATACAATTCAGATTCTTTTAATCAAAATGCAGATTCATTATTAAATATGTTATTTTCTATGCTTGACAGCTCTTCACATTGACACTTCTAACTTCTGTATCCATTCGCATTCGGTATCAACATTGACTATATAAGAAGACTGGATATGTCCTTTTTCGCGAGGGATCATGATTTTGGGGTTCTGCATGTACAGAACACAGTCGGTATGACGACCGTGCCTGTTTTACCAATCCCTCTCTTGCTGCACCTCGTTCTATTTTATTGCGTTCATTTAATTTGCTGTATTTATCTTCAAAGCTTATTGAATAAACTTATTAAAAAGATTTTACTATCATTTTATTTATTATTTTAACCCTAAATCATTGCACCCCTAACATCCATGCATCCCTTATAATAAATATATTATAAAAACTGATTCGAGTAAGGGTAAGTAAAGGTAAGTAAAGGTAAGTAAAGCCTCGTGAAACCACAACATTGTTACAAACGTGCAACCCCGGCATCACATTTTTGAATTTTGAATTTTGAATTTTAAATTTTTGGCCCCCTAGCGGGAAAAATGCGAACTAAATTTTCGATGTCGAATCAGTGCCCTCTGGTAGCAAAAAAGGGAACTAAAGCACCTCGGAATTTTGTCCCTCTAGCGGGAAAAATGTGAACTAAATTTTCGATGTCGGATCAGCGCCCTCTGGTGGCAAAAAAGGGAACTAAATCACCTCGGAATTTTGGCCCTCTAGCGGGAAAAATGTGAACTAAATTTTTCATGTCTGAGCAGCGCCCCCTGGCGGCAGAAAAAGGAACTAAATTTGTACAAAAATGTTTCTGGTTTTGCAACGTTGTCGACTACGTCAGACTTTGAATTTCTGCATTGTTGTATGCACAGGATGCAGAGATGTAAGGGATGAAGAGATGTAAGGGATTAAGAGATGTAAGGAATGTAGGGCTGAAAAGAATGTAGGGATGAAAAGAATGTAGGGATAAAAAGAATGTATAAGGGATGTAGTGATGTAAGGAATACAGGGATGTAAGGGATACGGGAAAGGTTAAAATAATAGACAAGGCACACAGGAGTAATAAAATCAACACATTCATACTCGTAATGAGTTTATTTAATAAGCTAGGAAGCGAAATACAATAAATTAAATAAACACAGAAAATAAAATAAAGGTATGTGTATGTCTATAACAGGTAGATCTGCGTCCCTCGACGGACGGCGTAGGACTGATGTGGTTATAGCATGCCGTTAGTTGGATGCAATAACTGAGGTGGCGCTGAAGTCAGTTTCTATTCGGCCTAATTTTCGATGAAACGTTGACTGTTTTACCGACGCGGAATTCGGAGTTGGGCCTCCACGCTAGCATCACCTTAAAAACAAAGGCATGTCTGATCTTGTTGGATTTATAGTCACTAAGGGCAGGTTGTTTTTTTACGAAATACGAATGTGTTCCAATCTGTTTAGATGCTGGCAAAGAATCAACTTCGAAGATTACGTTGTTCCGTTTAATTTTCTCTATAAAGGTCATCTAAATGACAGAAGTAAACGAAAAATTAGTGAAAGAAGAAGTAGATGAGGTAAGCCATTTTGATTTTATCCTTGTAACAATATCATATGTCTCCTGGAGTCGCATGCTAAATGTTTACATATTTCCTTTTACAGGACAACTTGTGCAGCGATGCTGCTGCACGGTTGACTTTTGAAATTGCCCTGGAAATTGCGAAAACGTCGTGCAGTTATGCAGAGGGAGAATTTATAAAAAAATGCTTGTTAATTGCAGCCGGACAATTATGTCCACAGCAAGTCCGAACTTTCGAAACGATAAATCTGTCTAATAAAATAATAAAACGTTGCATTGATTTAATGGTGTGCAACGTTAAGAAGCAAATACAGATAATATGTACATCTTTTATAACATACTCATTAGCAGTTAATCAGTATATATGTTTATCTGGTATACCCTATATAGCAATTTTCATTCGTGGAGTAAATAGTAACTTACATGTTACAGAAGAGCTATTAGATTTAGTGCCAGTAGATGATATGATTGCAGAGAACATTTTATCTTGTGTAAATAAGACATTACAAAATAATGATTTAAAATGGGAAAGACTTGTTTCAATAACAACCAATGGATCCTCTATGATGACTGAGGATAAAATTGGTTTTATGAGTCTTGTGAATGGAAAGATGAGAGAAATAGGCAGTTCTAATAATGTAATTGCTGTACATAGTCTAATGCTCATGCATAATCTATGTGTAAAAAGTGATGTAATATTGAATGTTATGTCCACCATTGTAAATGTTGTATGTTATATTAGAAATCATGAAATAAAGTTACAAGAATTCCATGCACTTGTGGAAGAACTAGATTCAGACTATGAGTCTAGTAGGGTAATAGAATTGTCTAATTACACTGAAGTGGAATGGTTAAACCGTGGAACTGTATTGGAAAAATTTTTTAATATACATGAAATAATAAGAGACTTCATGGAATTAACTGGACAATCTGTACCACAATTGAAGGATACCCAATGGCTAATTGATTTAGCATTCCTGGCTGATTTAGCAACTCATTTAAATAATCTAAATCTATTGCTGCAAGAAGAAGGACAAATTATAGTGCAATTGTATGATAGTATTCGTGCATTTCAAATGAAAATACAATTATGGATAAAACAGTTGCAAATGGGAAATCCTTATCATTTTCCAAAATTAAAATTAGCACCGCTTACTGAGGACTGTGTTAAAAGACTGTGCACAATTTTACAAATACTCCTGGAAGAAATTGAAACCAGGTTCAAGGACATACAAGATTTAGATACAAGTTTTAATATATATACAATGCCTTTTACAGTCAATGTGAATACAGTTCCATCAGAACTACTGTTAGAATTACTTGATATGCGATGCGATCGAAAAGTAAAAGTAAAAGGAGGTTCTTTAATAGAATTTTATGAAAATTTTTCTTATATACGATTTCCACAATTACATAATCTTGCGGCTAGAACATTATGCATGTTTGGATCGACACGTTTTTGTGAGCAACTGATTTTAAACATGAAAAAGATTAAATCAGCTTACAGAACAGGGATAATTGGTTATGATTATATTTTCAAGTGTTCATTAATATTAAATTCGTGTCGAAAGATTCGTCCAAATATTAACCAATTATTGAGAGAAAGAAAATTATAGGAGACTATCAGTCATTTAAAATTATATTTGCCTTATTTCGAGAACGAACTTTTTCTTTGATGTATTTATCAGTTTTATAACATGTATTATTTATTTTTTCTATTAACTTATTGTTAGTATTGTCTGATGTATATATGTACAATCATGTTTGTTGCATTCAGTTACATATATATATATATATTTGTTAGTTCCTAAACTTGTACATACATATATTGCAAGTAATATCACGTTCAGATCATCACAACTATACTCATCTACAAAAAGGAACCCATTAACATATTGTAAATAATGTATTATACGCAATCATTTGTTATGAACTATACAAACGTATACGTCTCGTTTATTATACCTGTAAATAAATACTAATATTAACAAAACGCCCATAAGAGCGGCAATTGTACAAGCCGGATATACGGTAACTTATACTTAATAGTTTTTTTATACATCTTTTGTAGTTTATCAATGATCAAGGTGCTAAGATTTACTGATCTATAGTGTTCATTAAATATAAGAGATAATTGTAAACGCAGAAGTATAAAAATATGTTTTATTCCTCACACAACTTTACATGAACAGTTGCCAGCAGGCAAGATTAAATATAATGAACGATTTGATATCAATTTATCATATCAAGTACACGCTTTTGTAAATAATCTCACTTAAGAAGAAGTGAGCGAGCATAGAGCGATTAATTCGTACAAAGCGTTATATTAAAAGCGGTAGAGGTAGTTGCAAGAATAAATGGGTTTTCCACCGCAGCATTGAAAACCGAGTATTATCATCGTATCTATATTTAATATTTTCATCGTGCGCGACAGAAGGCACGTGCAAAAAATTTATGAATTGATTGTATTTCGTGAAAATAGAAATTTTGTCGTAACAGACGATTCTAATTTACAAGCTACACGCGAAAGGCATTTTAATGTATAATACGCTAAAGATAGAAATTGAAACCCTGTACATTTGATATGCTTTTGAAAAAGATGAATACTAATAAATAGAGAAAAGAAAATGATGTCGAACTAGAATGAATTGTAATAAATTAATATAGCAGGAAGAATGAAATTAGCGAGTTCATTATTTCTTTTAAGCCATACTTTAAAGGGTCTAGTGATTCTTCTAAATCCGAATATACTTGATTTCATTTGAACCAATATTTAAGAGTTATTATTGTCATATTCCACTGGAGATTAATTAATCAACGATAACGTCGATTTGCCCAACACTGTGAACAATAATAATCATTCTCTGCTGATCCGAAAAATTGACATTGTTCACTACGACATTCTTTGACTACAGCCTAAACAAAAAGATTACATATTATTTAAAGTTTAATATTATAATACCTATTTTAATACGTACTCCTAAAACGTTGCTATTCCACAACGCTGGTCCCGATTTATCAGACGATGCTTGGTCATTGTAAAAAGTAGATCTATAAAAAAAAACAATTAACAACAATTTTTCGGTAATAACAATTAATAAAAATATATGGATGAAAACGTACCTAGAAAGATAAAGTGTACGATCTTTATTTGGATTGGTGGGTAATAACTTGCTGACACTCGCATGGCTATCTCGATCGCTGGCAGCATAAAATTTCGACTTGCCAGCACCATAATTCATTTCAGTACCAGTGTCATCAACTTTATGATCTTGCAGGTATCTATACATTGTAATAACGACAAGGTAATAATGCATGCTGCACTGACATATTAATAGAAGAAAGAGACTATAGTACCTTGCATGAGCGCATTCGAGATAATTTTGAAGCATCTGATCTACATACTGATGCCGTCTACTTCTAATTCTTACGCACAATAAACCTGTAGAAAGTTCGCCTGCCGTCGCCGGTGGGCTCTTTGGTCTCTTCGCCATTGACCACAGTCTTTTACTAACGGATTTCCCAATGGATCCGAATTGTTTCGCCACACCTAGTAGCTGCTTTGCTGTTTTAGAAAGCGAACCGTCGGTATCGGATAATCTGTCGATGTCCTCTGATATGAAGTTTTGATATTCACAGTCCAAATATACCCTCAATAAAATTTCCAGCTGGACAGAAATAACATGCAATTACAATCTATTCAAATATTTATCAACATTTTACATGATAGATTACCGTGTCTTGCTGGCAAGCTAACAAGTCTCGAGAACCTTCCTCCCAATCCCACTCCGGTCCAGGATCGACTGCAAATAAAACAGGCAACAACTGGCCTGTGTCTGGATCTACAAGAGGTATACTAACACCCTCGTTACAACCATCCCCGAAATCACTTGCTCCGTCCACGGTAACCAGTGGAGAAAAGTGAGCTGAATGATACGCTAAAAGTAACGGGGTTCTATGACAACGAGATGGAGGTACTTCTAATGGTAAGTATACACCGCCAAATGGGATTGGTGCTAAAGCTACACCTTCTGCATCTTTTAACATAGTTTCTGCTATAACTATTATAGGTCTCTTCAAAGCGTGAGCCAAAGCTAATACGTGTACCTGTAAAATTTCAACATGATATACATTCTAGCAAAGTTAATTTCAAAAAGAAATGTACGGAAAAATATATACTTCTTCAAGACTCTGATAAGAGGTAGCAGTTTGATTTCTGAAAATAGGAGAAGCCATATCCACAATTGTCTGCCATTCTGTTAACCATTCTGCTTCTGTATAAGACAATCCTGCAGCAGCATTTAAACCCATCTGCCGCCATTTCCACCTTCTAAACAAAGCATGCCGGTACTCTCCTTTGGCCAGAGTATCGTGTAGCGCTTCCCTTAATGTAAGAAGTCTATCGTGAAAGCCCCACATGCCAAGGGAAGCTGCGTGTAGAAGACAATTGCCATCTCCCGATGTTGCCAGAGGCCACAGGACTCTGTTGCTTCCATTTTTACCTCCGCACCACCAGTTCAAACGACCAGCAGCTTCCAGAGATGTTAAACATCCTCCTTCGATCAGATCTTTCTCCAAAAACTGACGAAACGAATCTAAGTACAATGTATTATTCAATTAATAAAGGAATAAAGAATTAATTATCCTATGATGTAGTTAAAATACCTGGATATACACTCAGATCAGGAAGTGAAAATGTGAATTCTGGAGTATCCAAAGGACCTAGAGTAGTTAATTGAGAACGTGCATGGGAGACAATAGCTGCATTTTCAGTCGCTCTAGATATACCCCTGGCCAATTTCTTTGTAGCGCCTCCTCCACTTTCCAATCCATTATTGGGAGTTGATTCTTTCTCTGAACCATCATATGTGGATAGTCCCACGTTCATTACCTTGCCTTACTGCACCTACAAAACGATATCTTATCTAAAATTTACAATATTGAAGTCACAGCAGTGACAATGATGTATGATAATATAAGGCATACAAATATAGTATCATATGACTTTATATAAGGACACGCATATATATTGTAGTGTACAGAAATAGAATAAGGTTTTATAGCAGTAAAGTTTTCGAGAGAAAGACTAATCTACTGTAAACGTAAATAAAAAGGGATAATCGAGAAAGTACTTCGATTTTCAAGATTACGACATATCGACGATGAGTAAATGCGAAACAGGTGCATGATTGCATATAATGCTTCTGCATGTATATATGTATGCAACTGTGTTGGGTGCAATTATTGAAATGTGCAAACCTTGGCCCGTCTATCGAATTAGTGCAATTGAGCGCAGCTGCAAGTTATCGTTAAATGATATTGTAATTGATTTACCACGCACAAATTATTTGTATACTTTTTCATATTTTATACTACTAAGTTCGTACCGAAATTTTCTTTGGAAAGGCTGTCCACAATGTATAAAAATGAAGAATCTGTTTGCGCGAACGGTAATATAAACACAACATAACCTAGAGCGCGTAGCCTCGTAACTGTCTGGTAGAAGGGCAGAAAGCAAATTATTTGTTGCGCGCAACAGTCACTGTGAAACTTTATACCGGTCACATGTCAAATCGACGGGAGGTATACTATTGTTTATTTACGCAGTAGTATTACTACCTATATACTAGTGGATAGGTTGATGCGATTGCATTAGTGCGATCACTTTTGAAATTCAAGAAAAACTACCGTGCTACAGCTTATCTCGTAATACCACATCGCTACTTAGAAATGCATTTAACCTTGAAGGTGTTCATTGCGCGTCGCATATATCACCCACGCTAAGATGCATTACGTTTTCAGAATATACGAGTAGAAAGAATCCCCGAATTAACCTTTTTATCAAATTACGTTTTATCCCCTTGGCTTTTATAGCATTTCATTATCACTTTACTTTCTTAATAACTTATAACGCATCGTGTATAGAATTCAATTCAGATTACAGAGCCTTATTACAATGCGTGTATGCAACTTTCTAACAATGGATCAACAATGTTCTTTGTTGATCGTTTACTGAAAGAATGAAAAATACTAGACAACTGAATAAACCGCCTCGAGTTGATTTACTAACTTGCGTACAAATGTAGCGCCACAGGTTATCATTTCCCGACATCGTAGTTCGTCTACCTTGCTCGAAGACGAGACGCGTACCATGCCGATGTAGTAGACGTGCACGAGTGTGCGTGTCGTGCTGTGCTTGTGTCCGTTTTGAACCTCAAAAAAATTAGCCGTTTTTGTCGAAAACTTTAGCTCGTTAATCACAAGTGAAAACATCCTTGCGCAATAGAACAAGAACCGAAAGGAATAACAATGATCAATCGCGAAATCTACCTGTTAATATTTCTATCAGTCGATCTGTCGATTTTATTGGGCCACGTAGCCGGTTCTAAGGTGCTACAAATTCGCGGGATACCTATCGCGAAAAATTCCCTTTACCCGCCTGATCGCGATTTCCAGTGTCTCGACGGAAGTTTGTTGATACCGTTTTCCCACGTTAACGATAATTATTGCGATTGTGCCGATGGTAGCGATGAGCCCGGTACGCCTGCCTGCGCTAACGGTTTGTTCTATTGCGAGAATTCTGGTCACAAGCCTCGCTACATACCTTCTACCTGGATAAACGATGGTATTTGCGATTGTTGCGATGCCAGTGACGAATATAATTCAGGTAAGGTATGCCCGAACAATTGTAACGAACTCGGCAGAGAAGCCAGGTTGGAACAGCAAAAAGCAGAGGAATTAGTCAAAGAGGGTAATAAAATAAGAGTCGAGATGATTGCTAAGGGTAAACAATTGAAGACAGATTATGAGGCGCGTTTAATTAAATTACGGAGTCATTATGGGGAAGCTGAGCTGACGAAGAAGGAGAAAGAATTATTAAAAACTCAGGCAGAAGAACGCGAAAATGCTGCCTTGGAGAAGTACAAACCAGTTGAACCGGAACAGCCTACAGTAGAGGAAGGAGAGGAGGAAGAAGAATTGCACGAATCAGATGCAGAGGATTATTTTAAGCTATTAGACTCTGATAATAGCGGGACTGTAACAATTGCAGAGCTACAGACTAGAGTAACATTTGACAAAGACAGGGATGGAGTTATAACCGAAGAAGAAGCATTGTATTTCTTGAGTAATCAAAAAGAAGTCAATCTTCAGGAGTTCATGGATTCAGCATGGGCAAATATCAAGCCTTTTGTAATGCTAGAACAGGGTTGGTTATCGCAAATAAATTCAACTCTCCTATTTCATTTTGGATTGTACATTATAATCGGTATGTTATTTCAGGTGTATTTAAAGCAGCTAACCAAAAGGGAGAAGAAGTTCGTGATTCTGTGGAGGAAGGGACGGAGCAGGATAAGGAAGAGGATGATGGTAACGAGGGAGAAGAAGTAGGCGAAGAACAAGAGAAAATTGAAGAAAAATCTGTACAGTATGATGAAGAAACGCAAGCTATCATTGACGAAGCAACAGTTGCTCGCGAGAATTTCCAAGCGGCAGAAAAATCCGTGAACGAGCTGCTATCGGAAATTAGGGAACTCGAAGAGAAATTGGATCGCGATTACGGTCCTGAACACGTATTCGCTCCGTTGCACGGAGAATGCTTCGAATATACAGACTTAGAGTACGTGTACACGTTGTGCATATTTGGAAAAGCGACGCAAAGATTGAAATCCGGAGGCGGCGATATCAACTTAGGTAATTGGTACGACTGGGTTGGACCAGAGAGCCACAAGTACTCAAAGATGAAGTACGACCGTGGCCTTACCTGTTGGAACGGACCTGCGCGTTCAACTATTGTTAATCTAAGCTGTGGTAAAGAGAACAAATTGATCTCTGTAACGGAACCCAACCGATGCGAGTACGCTATGGAATTTACCACACCTGCGCTATGCAACCCCAACATCGAATCCGCTGACACACACGACGAATTGTAAATTTCGTTGCGCATAAACAGGCGCGAGTCAACTCCACGATACAACACACGACTTGTGTAATTTTGAAATCTAAAGTATAAAAATTGCAAGGATAAATAACGACTACAGTCGACCTCCGGTATATTAAGCCTCTGTCTGTCAAACGTTCCCACGTATTAGCGTAAAAGAAACAAAATTTACAACGGTCATGATTTGCGCAACGTGTTTTCTATTTTTCATTTTATTATCAAAGATAAATTGTAAATGATAAGCCGTCGTATAGAGCCTAGTCACAGCCCTGCGCGTTACCCAACGATAATTCCATGAAACTGTTTTACCCGCGATCGGTTATTGATCCTTGCATTAGAATTTCCTGGCTGTTTCGCGTCGGTACATACACAAGCGGATTTCTCGGCCGATAACAACGATTACAAATTATCAGCCAAACTCGGTTTGCTTTGAACAGTAGAAAAGTTTATCGAGAGACACTTAATATCCGTGATACGCGAATGGAACTCGTTGTTGCGCGGTCATTATCAATATTATGTCGCTATTGTACATTCCTGTTTTTTCTACAAGACGAATTTCTACGAAGCGATTTACACAAACGACACACAAAAGAAACTAATTTCAATTCACGCTTCGTTACCTCGCCAGTTAAGGTCTATGTAATTAATACTGTTACTACTTTCACCGAAGTAGACGAACTGAACAAAAAGATATCACAATTGAGAAAAAGAACCATATTTAAAATTTTTAACTGCCACGCGTAACGTAGATACCGTATTTAGCGTGTCGATTATTACTAAGTGAAGTATTTTGTAATTTTTTAAAGGTGCGTACACGTGTCGATGCATCAAAAAATGCGGGTTCAATAAAGAGAGAAAAAAGGATTCTGTTGTCAAACTGTAATTACGATGGCAGCTTTATTTACATTACATCGGGCGACTTTCTGTAGTGGTTTTGACCTGGTGGCACAATCGGAAAGAGAATGAATTTACGTGAGAAAATAAATCGAAAATATATTAGGATACTTTTAAAAGAGACCGCTGTAGCGCGGGAAAACACGCAGCGCCATCTACCATTTGGTGCTAAAAATGAGCTTTCCTGTTTTACCGACAGGGAACACAAAAATTACTCCGCTCTTTAGTTCACCTCTCCGACACCACGCGGCGCTTCTTTGAATTTTCGCGCCATCGTTTCAAAAATAAAATGACGGTCCATTTGAAATACAGAAATTTCGATGAATCTTCAACATCGATTTATTCAGAAATGAAGCGACATTTTCGATTTACTTTCTCATATAGATTTACCACCTTTTCAGGTGTGCCATCAGATTGGAAACACCCTTTATATGTATGTATATGTACAACATACATATACGTACATACATGTATACATATATATATATATATTTATATTTTTCTCAATTATGCAAGTTCTTATACGTTTACAGTGATGGTTAATCCTCTATTTATCTCGTTAATCTAATAATCTACACGTATCTTTTGGGCTCTGAGACGTTTACGGTCAACTAGAAAACTAAAAGGAGAGCGTAGGGGTGAGGGGGTGACGAAAGGTTTACCCCGCAATTGATATCCAACGTGTAATTTTACTCATCCAGTCGATTCCTCGTTATTTCGTTAAGGCACTTAAAAAAAGACTGAAAAGAAGTATCCTGTCTTTCACGTGGTCCACGTGACAGAAACGATACGCTCTAACACAGACCTTTCCAAGAGTGGCTCTCAGAACCGAGTGGCATCTATCGCTCTGCCTTTCCTCTCATCCTTTATTATTTCAATTAGATTACCTTCCCACCAAAAATTCCTCTTGGAAAGATCTGTTCTAACGTCTTTTTTCACCCCACGATGATCCCACTTTCTCCCTTTAAAAGTACACAACGAAAAGTCACGGTTCTTTTTTTGATTTCAACGTAGAGGAATGTATCATTCCGAACGTACATTTGTATCGAAAATCAAAAACACGTATCCTCCTGGTATCGTACAATGATACGCGGAGGAAACAAAGAAACGAAGAAAATATTTAACACTTCTTGAACATCGAACGGGTATATAGAATATCATTTGTTGCTCTCGCACATTTCAACGACGTCGATATACATATAGAAAATGTTGAATTGGTAATGGAAAGGCAGCATTTTCCAAAAGATTACCATAACGTTTCTAGATATGAATGATTTCACATGATTTCGTTTAACAACGGTACCCTGTGGTTTAAACACTTTCTAACCGATACTGAACATTACATCTGTCGCTCTTCTTATTCGTACCCTATTCGTTCACCATCGTGCCTAATTCTGCAATAGGGTTTTCTGTTATTTTTTTCTCTTTCTCTCTCTCTTTTGTACTTACACAACGAAACGAAACGCGACATCTATTTTGCGCCTCCTCTAAGCTACTGTACAACAAGTTCCACGAAACGCTGGATGCCTAACACGAGAAGAATCTGCAAGCACGATAATAGAAGGTCGTTTCACGATATATCGTGCGCCAGCTAATACTGGGTTCAAATAGGACTCTGGTAATCCTAATGAAATACGCGATTCTTAGGACAAATTAAAAACAAACATAGCAACGGAAGAAGTTAAATAACAACGGCGATTCACGGTTAACACGTTGACTCTCACGGTAGAAATAACAATGTTTGGTTCTGGTATACTGTCATATGGGATTCATTTTTTCTATTTAAAATGTTAGCGATACCTCAGAGTGAATGTTGCAGCGATGGCCATGGCGGTCAACGCGTTCATTTCTGCTTACGAATCAATTCTCTTTTCACTTTCTCTTTGAAACAAAAAAATTTTCTTATGAAAACATTATATAAAATTTAATGAAATAATGTTACGTTATTGTCCTTCTTGATTCTCCTTCTTTTGTATATATAATATATATATATCCTTATCTCCTCCAGCTTATTCAGTCTATAAATGAAATTGATATAAAAACGTTTGCAAGAAAATAGGCATCGTGTCCTATAATGGAAATTTGAATCTTTCGAACAGCTTTGTTTCAGCCTCTTACGTTCCATTTAAACGAATGAAAAAGCATATCGACGAACGAAAATCAATTGAATCAACGTTAATTCATCATAAACACGATATGCAGTTCATTTTCCAAGTTTCTCAAACATGATCAGCTTCTCCTTGAAGGTCTTCGTGTCAGTGGACACTTCTGATATATTCCCGTTCAGCATGTTCTGCAAGTCCTCGTCGTTTTTACTAACAAGGAGATTGTCGAACAGCATCTTGTTGTCTTCTTGTTTAGCGACCGGAGAGGTGGGCTGAGATGCGGTGATCTGTTGCTTCTTCTTAGGATAAATCACAGAGCTTCGTTGATTATTGCCGTTATCGGTCATTCTGGTAACTATAGTGATGGCTAACAGCTGATGTATATCGATGTTCTCCTTCGACTCGGACGACTGACGCCAGTAGAACTTATCTGGGGAAATCAGTGACTTGGAGTCTTCTGTACCGTCGGCTACCGGTGGGATCTCATCAGTCGTCACTAGGTTCTTGTTGGTCCAAGAGTCCTGAAAAAGAAGATGGATGAATTTATTAGTAAGGCTAAACTGGTGCGTTGAAGACTCACTTATGAACTTACGTTTTTCTCGCGTTTGTCTACCACGGCATCTGCAAGATCCTCCTGCTTCCTGTCCTGATCCAAATCCCTCTCTAAACTATCCAGAGTCTCGGTGCTCTCAGAGGACTTATTCCTCCTCTCCGAGTCCAAGGTATCCGTGCTACCAAGTTCCGAGCTCTCCGAGGACTTCTGAAGCCTGGATGGTTTCCTAACCGATACCGGTCTCTTCTCGTCTTCCTGCTCGTCCGTCGCAACGATATCCACGTAACTAGAGCTGGCTATTCTCTTCGGTGTCCTCCTGATCCTCCTGTTCTCCAGTCTATCGTCCATCTCCAAATTGTCCGAACTCTCCGACGACATTCTCTTCGAGGATCTTCTGCAACATTTGCCAAAATCTTCATCGGCGTTCTCCTCTTCGTCTTTATTTTCATTTATCTCGATCCTCTCGAAGCTCTCCGACGACTTGGAGATGCTCTTCGACAACCGTCTCCCTCTAGCCAGATTGATATCCGAGATGCTGCTCCTCTTCTGCAACTCCTGCATCGTGTCCTCGCCGGTCTGGGTTTGTTCCAGCACCTCGAAGCTTTCGGAAGACTTGGATATGTTCTTGGAGGATCGGCGAGCACGGAACTCGAAGCTGCTCCTCCTGCGTTCGATCGACTCGTCGCTGGCGAGCGCCTCTATAGCCTCCAGACTGTCCGAGGACTTGGAAACACGGTCGATCGACTTCGAGATCGGATTCAACGATCTTCTGACCACGGGTTTCGCTTCCTCGTACTCTGTCAGCTTGTCGAAGCCCTCGCTGGATTTGGAGAACCAACAGGAGCCAACCTCCAGGCTGTCCGGAGACTTGGACAGCCTGTTGGAGGACCTTCTTCGCGGTAGCTTGGCTTCCAGCTCCTCGAAGATCTCGGAGTTCTTTGCTATTCGACTCGACGACTTTCTGACTATCGATCGCGCTTCTCCTTGCTCCTCGTTCACCTCCGAGCTCGTCCTCGAAGGACTAATGGCGTCCAAGCTGTCCGGGGACAAGGAGGCTGCGCTCGACGGTTTCCTAGGCAGCTTGGCCTCTAACTCTTCGAAGATGTCCGACGTTCGGGATAATCTACTCGAGGATTTTCTTGTTACCGATACAGTTTTCGCTTCGGTCGGCGAGGACGCGTTGCTGTTCGTGTTCTGTTGGTCCAGGCTGTCCAACGAGTCCTCCGCGATGGTCGTGATGGTTGACGTAGAAGTGCTGCTCGCTTGCAAACCGGTGCGCCTCGGTGGTCTTCGGTTCTTGGGTCGTACGGAAATTCGATGGTGCGCCGCTGTATGATTCAAGCTGACGGTTTCTAATTGCGCTGTTCAAACAAACGAAGAGCCTTGAAACATTACGTAAAGGAAAACGTACAGTGTTCTGCTTAAAAGACAATCTTTCGAGGTCTGTCGAATTCGATAACAATCGGATTGCGATTCCTAAATTCTCTGTACTTACGTAAGTCTTCTTTGGCCACAGGTATAATTCGATCAGCCGCGTCCTTTGGCGATCTTGAACTCTGTCATAAAAATAGAATAAAGTTAATGAATTATCGAGGGGATTACAGGTGTCGTCGAGTTTCAGCTTGTAAATCAATAATACCGCGTCAACGACTCTCGGTTCAGTTTCATTTAAATTTACAATGTTTTCGATTGTTAAAATTTATAAAAACTTCACTAGACGAATGATCACGTTACATTGTTCGTGATCCAGCTCGGTGCACCAGCTTGCGCCGACTATAACGGTATTAACCAGCATCGGGGCGAACAAATACGGCCAGTTAACCGTGATCGTTCGAAACCGGTTACAAGTGCCTTCTCGAAACACGCTTGGTTCGTTGAGGAAAGGTTTCGTTCGCCGTTTCGTTACCGTTTTCCCCTCCCACGCAACCGGAACTCATTGTCATTCAACAGCTGACCGTTCGATACACGCGACTCATGGCTATAACCGATCATTGAAATTCTCGGTTCTACCGATTTACCTCGCAGCTCTCTTCTATCCGTGGGTTCGATTCTTTGATAACTGGAGGGATCCGCTGTCTAACTTCCGGCTTCGAGCGTGGTCGATCCTCGATCCTGCACGAAGGTCTCACAGATCCCATCGATTCATCTTCCGTTTTGTCCTGAATCGTTTGACGAAAATCGGATCGTATAATACGCGGGAATATTATAGAGACAGAAAAAGGGGTTTCTGGGGATCGTCTCGACATATAATCCCTGTCCCAGACGCCTATAATCGCATGCCGGGGGACCGCTAGCGAGAACGGACTCAATCTCGCCGCCACCTGGCGGTCGCCGACCCGAACTAAGGGCGTCCGGAGAGATTCACCGCCTTCCCCTTCCATTAAACGCCGACAATATTAATTTTGTCTAATAGCAAATGAGACACCGGGAGTATGTACAAAATAAAAAGAAAAATAAGAGCAACGCGGAGGGATGATTCTATAAAAAATCATAAGATCTGATCGATTACCTCGATCCTGTCTTCGGCTCGAACAAACTGCTCTCGTTTAGCCTGAAGGATCGTTCGTCTGTTCTCCGGCTTCGATCTTGGCCGATCCTCGATCTTGTACGTAGATCTTATCGATCCAACCCCCTTGTTCTCCTTCTTCTCCTTTCATTCAGATTTACGTAAAATTTTATTAAATCAGTCTCGAAAGGATTCGCTAATCCGTGTTATTATAGAGTGATCGAAATTATTTGAAAATGATAGCCACGGATACGCGAACCCGATCAAACGTGACGTTCGCAACGAAAACGGACACTGGGTCGACGAAAGTCGATTCAGTTTCACCCTGATCGATTACCTCGACCGCATGATCCTCGATCGTCGCGGTAGCCTCTTTCTTAATCCCGACGATTTTCCTTCCTCCGATCTCTGCCTTGCCCCTAAATCTATCCTCGAATTTGCAGACGCGTTTCATCGGTTCTGGTATTTCGTAATCAACCTTCTCCTTGCATCCGTACACGCCGATGCTGATCTTCGCCGTCGGTTGAACACCCGGAAAACTCTTGCATCGGGTATTATCCTGTTTCGTTCGATCGATTAATCGCCTTCTTTCCACTGGATTTAAATTCAGCTGCTCGATTATCGCTCGTATGTTCGAGGAAATGCTGCCCTCGCGATGAGACACCACCATGGTGCTGATTGTTTCAAGGAATTGGCGAACGAAATGTCATAACGTCGTAAAAGGCTTCGAAGTGTTTCAACTATTTTCTGTCATCAAATCGCGTCGCACTTTCTATGTTTCGAAATCGGCCATTTGATATGCAACGACCTGATAGAAACGAAAGGATAAATCTTTTTTTTTTTATTTAAAATTCAACTGGCAAACTTTCCAAATCTATCGACGCGATGTTTCCTCGTCGATCGATCACAAATTTGATCGTAACCGTTTACAAAGCCGATAAAAAGAACAAACGCGTTCGCTTCTAATTACGCTACCTAGTTTTCGCGGTTAACGTATCGTTTTTCTCAGGGTTTCACGCGTGTCTTCTAGCTCGTCCTCCTTTTCTCCACCACCTCCGACTATCCTCGAGATCCTGATCGCTTCCCACGCGACCTTCCTACACCAGAAGAAGATCCTCCACGAAATTGCCGTGACTATTTTCGATCGCGCCAACTCGAAACAGATAAGCGGCCAAAGGAAAAGTCACGGACAGAATTGTGCCTGCGTACGATATCTCGATCTGGTCGGAGAAACGCGTTCCTTCGCGTTGTTTCCTCGAAATAATCGGATAACATCTGAACGCTGAAAGGTTTTTCGAATTGAGATTTCGAAACGACGAGAAATATGTTCGCACTTTGAACGGGTAAGTAATCAGAGAATGATACTCTGTTTGTTAGGTGGAAAAAATGAACGATGCGAACAGTTATTATTGGATTGCTATGATTTTCAAGTCAGCTCGAGCGGCAAATGTTTGCTTGGTAAAAAGCAGGCCAAAGACGTGTGCCCACGTCGAGCGCCCACGATATTTACTCAACAATCCGTTGCTCGTCGAATCGTACGCGATTAAGAATTCTTAAACGTTTCTGTTACCGCAAACGTGCTCGCGAGCTCGTAAAACCGTACGAAAACACACCGGTTAAATTCGAAACCGATCGAGCCAATCGCCGCAGTAGAAACAGCCATATATAGTCAGACGTAGAATTTCTAATTTCTAAAAGCAATTCGATACTTTGCGTTACTCGTGTAATTTAGGTAAGTAACATTTACAATTTTTCTTCCCGTTAAATTCGTGTAACAACCGGCTACCGGTCACCCGCTGTACCGATTCAACCTGTTCAACATTTTTCTCTATAAATATCGCGACAAGATGGCGAGGAAAATGAACGAAAATCGTAATTTTTCAACGGTTCGATACAGCTAGTTGCTAACGACTTTGTAACACACCTTCGATCGGTTTATTGCAAAATCAACGAGTCTTTCTGCACTCGGTCACACCTATGCTACCACCTGCACGATCTGTCCGTGTTTGCATTCCAACCGGATGCACGTAGGTACACTGCCGCCGGAAATTGCGGAACCTAATAATTTTCCACGAGAGAAGAGAAAGTGACGTGGACACCGTGTCGAGGAAAACTCGAACCACTTGCGTAACAGGTGATTAAAGGTAACCGCCTGTAACGCGTTTTACCCCTCGAGGGTGAAAAATCGTTTGAAAAATAACAAGCTTTCCTCGAATGGAAAAACGATCGACAAAGAGTCGTTGCGTTCATTTCCATCGGTTTACGTAACAATCGTGAATCAGCTGATATTCAAGCGTGCAATATGGGTCTAAGTACAGTGGGTCGAAAAAGTATTTGTACCTCGTTTAAAATTGGACCGAATGACTTGAGGTTTCTTGAGAAGCTATAAAAATTACTCTACTAACATATATACTAATTTACTTAAAAATTACAATTTGTCGAAATCGGGGAAAAAATTGTTTATCTGAGTTTGCAATGAAAATTTAAAATTCGACTCCACTGTATTACCTTGTTCTTTATTTTTTTTTTTAAACTCGATGAATCAGCCGGCTGGTTTCGTATGGTACCCCTAAATGGGTCGATGGATAGCAGACGGCCATCATTTTTCAGGATATTGATCAAACTTTGGCCTGCGATTATTTTTCTTCGTTTATGGTGGTACACCGTTTGATAGATTAACTGATTTCTATAGAAACTCGCGTGTCAGTCGCGTATGAGTGACATGGGAGCGAAGGTGTTTAACTCTCGAATGGCGAAATTGGGTCAAACATCTATATCCATGTTACTCGATTGTTAACGATTTGAATTTCTCGAAACTTTCCGAATGACCCTCGAAGCAGTGGAGCGATGAAAATGGTTGCTAATATATTTCTCGGGGAAATTTCTCGCGATGGTAGATTGCGTCGGGAGGCTGGTTTTAGCCAGGACTTTTGACGCGGAGCGGTAATGGCGAACGAGTTGCAGAGATTAGATCTGTGGACGCATCGGTGCTCCAGATCTGATCGAGATCGACGTTAACGTTGTTTCGCCTTGCCGTCGTTCTTCGTGCCAGTTGGCCAGTCGGTTCGCTCTGTGTATCTTATTGTGCCATCATTCGGCAATTTGCTTTAATGCTCGGCCGAGTTCTCGCTGCGCACCGTTACTTTTGCTCACGCCACGAGGTTCGCGCGATAAAACGCGCGTTTCGCTTTTTCCAGGAGTTCCTCCTGCGATTATCGCAGGGATATGTTACGTTCTTGTGAATAAATAAAATTATCGTGTCGGTAGATGCGACAAACTTAATTACCTTGCAACTTTCGGTGACTGTTAATGGGACTTTATGAAATGAAAAAAAGAAAGTTGAATCATCTGATAGAAAGCGAAATTTATCACCGACGTGTTCGCGTTTAATGAAACACCGTTGCAGAATCATCGCGGAGATATCAGTTTCAACTTCATTTTCGTTCATTTGCCTCACTTTCCATTTCCGCCGGTACTATTTACTGCTTCCCTTGTGGATCGAACGGCAGTCAATTATCTCGATGAAGAGGAGGAATAAAAGTTCAATCTTCACCGTCGATTGCTAGAGGCATATTTCTATTCTCAGTTTTCTAATTTCAGAATTTCCCGCGAAAGCGTTAATCGATGGTTTTTGTCAGGATCCGCGACGAGGCGGGCGATGAAAAGGGAAAACGGAAAGGGGAAAGGTGGAAAATTTCGATCGATGGCAGGTCGATGAAATCCGGTCGCGAGTCGGGCGCAATTAACCGGCTCGAAGTGACGAAACGCTCGCCGTGAGAACTAGGCGAACCTTAAACCGTATTCCAGGCTTGTCGCGTGCAAGTGTACCCGTTTGTGTCACTTTACCAGGGCGAGTTCTCTTTCGCTTGGAACGAGTTCTTGAGGACGCACTCGCAGCGTGACCGAGGTCGTGAGATGAAACAAAAGCACACCTGGTGATCGTGCTACGCGCGATAATAAGTAACCTGTTCGCGAATCGGTGTCGACTGAAAAACACGTTCACTGCCATGGGGGTCAGCGGTGACCTCCGTTCGAAGAGCGTTCGGATTCTTCATAGCGAAGCGAATTGAAAACTATTTTACCATTTCGCAATTTGAATTTTCCTTTTCGAGATACAAGCGATTTAAATTTCACTTCCCTTAAAGTTCACCCTGAAAGTGATCAGAGATACTTTGAAACGAATGCGATTGAATTCAATCTCTTAAAATCTGTTGGAAAGAGAAGCGAAACAAATTTCATCACGCTTCAACGAGCGCATGAACAACGATTTTATTTAGTTTCTTAACCGGTCTACCAACGAAAGTGAAAAACATCGTACTACCTGCACAAAGATCTGCAAGAGTAAAAAAAGAAACACTTGAACAGTTGCTAAACACGTGCCGATGATTAATCATCGATTATCTTTTTTCTATCGAATCGTTAAGATACGCGCAAGTCCAACGAGTAATTAACACCCAATTGATAAATGAAATTATTTGCAAATAGAAAAGAAATTCGTCGCGTGAAAGGGTTAAAATCTGTAACGTTTCCTGTGCCCGATTCGTCGCGGTAGATGCATTTTCACGCGAACCGCGTATCATTTTCGTCCCTTCCCCTTTCTCGCCTCTCTTTCCGTCTATTTTTTTTTTTTCTCTCTATTTTCCTCTCTCCCTGTTTAACGACAATACCACGGAAACGCGAGCACGGTGTTTGGCATGGCGTGCTAGATTTCTAACATCCTGTTAAAACATCGCGAGCCTCGTTCCGAAACAGCGAATCGAATTTTACCGAGAAATTATTGATTAATTCTGAGACTCACGCGGGATTTCCTATTTCCACAACAGAGTTTTCTATCGATAAGATAATCTTAACGCAACTGAAAATTGTAGCAGAGGTTTCGAGTACCGATTTATCAGAAGTTTCGTTTCCCAATCGGAGATGGAATATGCGACAGATGCGATAGTTGAATTTCGTTTGGAGAAAGTGAAACGATCGAACGTGATAGGGTAACGTGAGATTTGTCACAGTTCTTCCGAATGAGAAAAATATATCGTCCAGCCAGTTTTATGTTTCAACTTCTGGCCTCGGCAACCGGTCGTCTCGATTTTCAGACTCGCGTCGACGATTTCGTAGCGAGAAATCAAGCGAAACGAGTACAAAAGATTAGTCAAACGGTCGCGCTGAAAGTTTTGAGAATCCCAGCCGGAAAACGCGCTCGATAGAATCGTCAGGACTCTCATCGTCGACCAGGTAAACTTATTCCCGTGAGCGAACCTTGCCAAGATTTCAAGAAATCGCACGAACGGTTCGCTTCAACGGTTCTTGCGATGTTTTTTTATCATTCGAAAGGTTTCGTGCAAGCTCGAGCAAACACGGTATTCCCTCCGGTCTTATAAATATTTAAATCGCGGCTGCTCGAGGCACGTAGAGTCGATAAAACTCGTCGGGAAGTCAACGACACGATCGTTTCGTTGATTTCCACGTCGTTGATCCCCTTCGAAAACCATGCAACACATTCTGCCGGACCCGCTAAACAAATAACAATTGCTAATTCCGAGAGAGGCGTGCCTGATTTCTTGGCCTCTTCTTCGACCCGGAAGGGTTATTCGAGCAAGGTAAAAAAACAGGAGAAAACTAAACTACCTTCTTTTGTATTAAAATAAAAAAAAATAAACATAGAAAAATAATAGAATTGCTATGAGAATTGGTGCCTGATGCTTGAAATGTAATTATATGTAGAAAAGGAAATGTTGAGTGGCGTTGTTTGAATTGAAAAATTATTAGTTACTAGTTATTACACGTCTGGGTGTTGGAAGGAAAAAAGGAGGAAGAACAAAACGAGAACCGTTCCATCGAGTGCATACGTTTACTGAAGCGAAGGAAGAGGAAGTACGACGAATGGAGGAAGCATGCTAATTTCCATCGTCGGCTCGTACCGACATCGAGAGTCGTTTATCTGTCTTGGAATTGACCGATCGATACGGTCTGATTATTCAATGCGTTCAATCTTCTCTTTTAACCACCATGGTACACGGCGTTCCTCGAAAAAGGTAACTTCTGTATCCCACGGAATCTTATTTCATTTTTAGTATAACGATATTTCAAATTTCTTTAATTTCAGTAGTAGAAAGTTAAATATGTCGGACGCAACAGGGGCAGTCGACGTTTTAATTATTACACGTCGCACCAAACACGAGTTTTTCTACTGCGGCCTAGCCACCGCAGGGAAATTGAACACGAATAGTCGGACACTCAAAAAATTTTCTTTTTTAACTATTCTACTATATTATATTCAAGTGGTCGGTCGACGTGTTGAATTCAAAGATAAAATTATCATGATTTTACTAATCAGTACTAAGCACTCGGCATTCCCAACTGATCCTGATTAAAATCGCAAAATCCGTCTATTATCGAATCAAGGTGATTAAAAAGCAGAGGAAAGAATCGCGTCGACGTAATCGAAAGAAAGTTTGCCTTAACCGTTTCCGTAACCCCTTCCCTCGTTATATCTGTATTAGATTGTATCCTCTAAATTAATTTTCAGTAACTTTCGATGACTTTTAGATAAAAATACTCAGCTACCTAAGAAAATATTTTAAAAATACAAGTCCATGGCAAGTTGCTAGATTACCAAAGAAAAATAATTCTTAAAATTTCAGCTTTGAAAGTGAACCAAAATATCTGCAAATTACGCCAAGAATCAACGTACATTTCTTCAAATTTAATCACTCGTTCACATTTCACAAAACTTTAGCTTCACTGTTCTCCCATACACTGCAATCGTATGTACGGAGTATTCAGGAGATTTTTCCAGGACGTTTATCGTCCACGCGGTGGGAAGACGGAATCGCGTGTCGCTCGATGGAAACACGGGCTTCGACTGAACCGTTTCGACCTTCGTTGCCCGCGATCGATCGTAAGGTACGGGTCGACCGAACGAAGCCCTTCGAAGCTATAGGAGAGAATGAAACGGAGATAGGGAACGATTGATAGCAGAGGGAGACGGGAAGCTTGTAACGCGTGTCGCGCGCGGAAAACGCGTCCCAGTACTACTGGCCGCGAGCGAGCGAGTCTTCCGTGCCGGAGCGGTGACTTTCGGCGGGTAGAAGTGGCACTGTCGGTCGTGGTGGTAGCACAGGTGACAGGGACGTAATCGCACTATCGAGTGCCACAAATAGCGAGCGAGTAATTGAAATTTCAAAGATATCGAAAACCTTGAAAATCTTATACAAGTTTCCTGATAGTCTCGATATATTTTGAATTAGAAATTCTGTGTTCAGTTGAACAACGCGTAGGCGAGAAGGTAGATTGAAATGATAGAAGAGTCCAGGAAGAGAGGAATCCTGTTAGGATACACCACTGTCGACTAATGACCCCTGGCAAAGAGAAAAAGGGAGACAGCGTACTGATGGAGAAGAGTGATCTACGAGGGAATCGGACAAGCCGCGCTAACGGTGCTACCAATATTGCTGCTTGCCAGCTGTTCGCCTCGAGCGGCAAACAGCAAACCTCCTTATTCCACGGCCCCTTCTTCACCCTTCGGTTCGCGTTGTCCTCTTACCTAGACATTCACTTCGCTACCGACAAAACGTTTCGACACCGCGAAAACGTAGCAGAACAACAGCCTTTTTCGCTTAGAACGCGCCTTACCGGTTGCTTTCTAAATACCGCTCCTTTCGTCTCCGGCAACGCGTTCACGCTCCATCAGGATACGTCGTTTAAGTTTCGCGATCGGTGCTTCGGTTCGCCACTGACCTATCGTAACCGCTCCTTTCTCGTCGCCTTCGTCCTTTCGTAATCGAGGTACGTCGCGACGCCGACTGCAGAACGACGGCTACCGCGTACTCCAGGATATTTATTTTGTATTAATACACCTGCATCTTATGTAACAAGGAAACGAAATTCTAATTTCTGGAGACACTTTTATAGAAAGAGCGATTTCGAATGTGGTAATCTCCGAGGAGCGGAGTCGGGTGAAATTGTAGGGAATTTCGGAATATCCTGTCGCAACTGCAACGATCGTGACGAGCTTCCGTAAAAGGTAGACGATAGAATTTCCGAGGGAAAAGCAGAAAGGTAGAAATTCGAGAGGACCGGGTAGAACGTGCACGTCGACCTTTCCACGTCGCGTACGCGACCAGGCGTACCGATTTATTGGATAAACAGAGACGTTGATTTGATTCGCGGTAAAGCTTAACGTTAACGGTACCGGTACACGGTCCTCGGGAAGGATTTGTAAGGATTCTTCTGGCCTTGCTGGCATTCCCTGACGAAGGCAACGCAACGCGATAAATGCCATGCAAATACCAAACTGGCTTACGAACGGTTCGTTAGGCGATCGCGTGCAAATGTCAAAAGCCTTACGCCGATACCAGCAAAGTTAAGCTCTAGAAATCCTTTACCAATTTTTTATCTCGAATTTCCGTCGACTAATTACGCTCATCTAACGTGATTTACAAAAGTATCCTAACAGTTTGTTTAATGCATGTAAAAGTTTGGATCGAACGATTACATTAGGAAAACATAATATGTTTAAAGCAAAACGCTACGTCAGCTGTAATGAATGTATTAACAAACACTTGTCAGGTGCTTATGATAGTATCAAGTTACAGATATTCAAACGCTCTAGGTGAAAAATGCGGATCTGTTTTACCGACGCGAAGAAAAATCCTATATAAGTTTTCTACTTTATCGACTGTGCTACTAGTTTAATTTCTCTTGAATAGCTAATTCAATTGTGTAAAGTGTAATGTAAATTAATTAGTGTAGCATCACTAAGTATTAATAAATTTTCTTGTATTTATTGACTATATTCCCTCGTAAGATAAAAGTAGAGCCCTCTAGCGACGCCGCGGCGGTCTGACTAATGTTGATCGTATCTACTTACTCGGCGTCGGTAAAGCAGGTTTCGTTCACTGCCGCAGTAAGTAGATACAGCCATACTTAACCACCCCTATCGTGTCTACCTTGAAACGAACCATTTAAAATTTCATTACCCCAAAAAGGTGATTAAGAAAAATTACAATATAATTAGAGGAACCTTAATAATTCTTATAAATGACTAAAATATAGATCAAACAGCATTGAATTATAAAACAAGGTTAAATACGACCCTATTATCCTTGAATAATGATCAAGCCTGCAACAAGTGGTTGCAAATGAGCTGAATATAAATATGTACAAATTTGCATTCATAATGATAGGTGCTATATATCGTTATAAATTTGTACAGACGATTTAAAGAGGAAAAACGCGTCTTTTCGAGTAGTCTATTACTTTTCAGTGTTTTCTGTTTTTCTATCGAATCGAAAGCGAGCCAACTCGCGCCCGCCTGCAAGTATTCAACCAGACGAACCTCGGTGTAACGAGTGTTCGGGCCAAGTAACGGTAAACGCCATATCTCGTCGCTCTTATACACTGTCCTATTCACTGCGAGCTCACTCTCGAACGTTTTTTACCGCTTTAAACGACTGGCTGTTTATCATTTCGCAGCACCACCATTCCGAGTGCTTTAAATCTTCCTTTGATCCCTTTAACTTTTTCTCCAATGAACCCCGGTGCACGTGGGCGCCGTTTAAATCAACCCCCTCGGATATTAACGAGCGATTATTTTCGAAATGAAAATCTCTTTCCAGCGTACATCAAACGTTCGACGTGTGTGCTCGATGTTTAAATGCTTCTGCAAAGATATAGGCTACCTTTTACGAGCAGACACGAATACGCGTAAAAGTAAACGGCTGAATCAGATAAAGCTTAACCCAGTTTCTTTTTTTTTTTTCCCTCTTTTACTCGTTCAACGCGAAACACGCCTCCGTGCAAGCGTTTTCCAATGGGCACGACGGTCCTCGATTTACACGGTACGTCGAGCATTGTTCGAACGGTTGTTGTGTCGCGGGACGAACAATAAAAAAAGAAAAAGAAACACATACACGGGCAGATTCGTAATGGAACATTGCGGAAATAATAGCGGTTCGCTACGCGGAGAGAAGCGGAACAACGAGAGCGCCGTAAAAGGGACGCGAAACACACTCTGTCAACGGTGAAGCTTCTTTCACCGGAACGATATTATTCAGCTCGAAACGAGCGAATGAAAAGTATAAATTCGATTGAAAATAATAGGAAATCTAGCGATCGCTTTGATTAATTGATCATTGATCAATTAGATTTTAATTGGTCAGCCGATCAATTAGAGAACGAGACGATACTTTAGATGATTAGAGATTAAAGCGATGATAACCGATTAACAGCTTTTTTTCTCGTCGTTAAAAACCAGTCACGCGTGGAAAATTCTTTCACAAGTACTGGATGCAATCGACGGAAAGATTTTTCCGAGTCGTTGACGCGGGCTGACGCGAAACGATGAAAATTAACCGGTCTCTATCGGTCACCATTCGCCACCTGTTGCCCGCAGAAATTCGTCGTTCGATCCTGATTTACGAGCCGCCCATTACCGCGATATATCAACGTTGGAAACGAATGGCTGGACCGATAGAGAATTCTTGGAGAATTAAAAGAGTACTCACCTTCGCCTGATTCTCTTCTCCGTTTATTTCCTGCTTCTCGTAGCCGATGAAACGATTCTGAAAATCAATAATTTCACGTTTTTTCAAATCTATCGATATTTTTACACGCGATAAGAGCGGTCCAATTTGATCGACGATAAAGCGATAACGGATATCGAGGATGGCGTAAACGTTCGTTACATGTACCACCGGCAAGATCGTAAATATAAATGACGCAACGAATGAAAGTAGTTAGTAACGAGTCGTCAGAGACCGAGAGAACGTATCTCTGAAACTCAGTATAGAGAGAAAGTTGAACCGACTGACAGAACGCTTCCTTCTTACCCCTGCTCTCTTATCCCGAAATTTCGTCGCAATCGATGCGAAGAGTAAAACTTTGTCCCAGAATTTTCGCAAGCCGTTTTCCTTCTTCTCGGCCATCTTATTCTTCACCGTCCAACGCGACACTAATTATTTTCCTCGAAGCAAATTTTAACTACGTGAACTTGCTGATAATTAACACACCGATAAGCTGGTATACACTGTGATAATAATTTTGTCAATTTCAATTCCGGTTGCATTCGTCAAAATTATTCGGCCTCTGATTCGCCACTACCAGCTGTCAACGTGTTAAGAAAAGCGAAATATCTGACGCGAGTTGTGGCAAAACTGACATCGCGAACGCGACTACGACGATTACTAGGAATGGTAAAGAATTCATTGTTGCTATCTTACCTCGGCGGTTTCCTGCTGATAACGTTCACTGACAGCCTGAAACGCAAAAACGAAACATGACATCAGAAGTTAATACATGTTGAATCTAATCCGTCATTTAAAAATTCTTCGATAACAATAGATGTTTTGTATTACGATTATTATACTTGTTTCAAAGTCAAAGTCGCAATCTTATCCATTATTGCAATTTGTGCTTCTATTTTAATTTCTATGGTACAACATCTACTCTTTTTTTGTTTTTTTAAGTCTAGTCTTTTACCGGGACGACTTTCTTTTCGGTCTTACTTTCGTATCAAGATAAAAGCTCGGAGAAAAATTGATGTCTCCCAGAGGAGAGGTGAACGACCGCCTAAAAGTCTCGAATCTTTTTCTGACAAACATTTAATCGAACGTCTGGATACTTACGTGTACGGCACTGTTGGTATCCGAGGAAGTCGCGGAGGCTAGCTGGTTCCGGTTCTCTATGACCGTCTTTATTTGCTCGAGCACCTGCAAACGAACCGCACGTACTTCCAGCAATTATCCACAATGCTACCGGTAATTATCGTTTCAGTAAAGCCCGTCTGTCCCAGATTCCAACTGTGACGGCTTTATTAAAACGGTAATTTAAAAATAATGAAATAAAGAGAGAAAAAAAAAAAAGCGTTTTCTAAGCGGACCGCTTCCGTTTCAAACCAACTATTTACGGACTTTTCTCTTTCCCAGCGTGGTTTCGGTCTCGTTGTTCGTTCTACCGGTAAAATTATACAACAGCGAGGCGTATCAACGCGTTTCTTCTCGAGTATTGCCGATTTTTCAAGCGAACCCCGTATATCGGAAAAAATTACCCGAAGTGATATCCTGTGCCTCTGAACAACGTGCTGATTGTACTCCTTGTGCTCGATCTCGTTGCTCTTTCTCGACTGCCTTCGCTGAAAGATAAAGAGAAAAGGGAATAGAACAGCCTGTTCGCGAAACAACATCCCGTGGTTTTCCGCGAACGTGAAAACAATCCGTGACTTTCCTCGTCTATCAGAACGGAACGCGCTTTTTTTCTCCGTTCGCGAGTAGAAAGGATCGAGCGGGCAATAGTTTCTATAGTTTTTACGGAGCTTCGATTTTTCCCGGTAAAACATCCTCGCCTCGCTTTCGAGGAGAGATACGAATCTCCTCGGTTATATGTAGATTCGCAGCTGGTCCCGCAGCTGAACGAAATAAGTTTCCCTTCTGTCGGACGAAATTCGTTTCGCTCTCTCACGAACGTCCCTGTTCGTGACAACGAAATAGAAACGGAATCTTCTCCACGAGCGGATGATTTCTGAGATTCCTGTAAACGCTGGCACGCGACGACAATTATATAGAACAAAGAACGCGTGGAATCTTGGCCGATCAACGGTGAGCTGTGACAATGGTTGCACTCTTCCAGTGTAAAAGCTGCTTAATTTTTATCGAGAATTCAAAACGGTTGGATAGTTAACAAGGTATTAGTCAGAAGGTGAGACGAAGCCGAGGAAATTGGAAGACGAGTCACGGCCGATTCTGGACATGTGTAACCGCCTTAACTGGATTCGCGCGTGCTTAGCATACCTCGATCGGCATTACGCTCATTGGATAACGAGAATAACGTCTCCCCAACGCCTGTGTTTATCATTCCTCGCTCGGCTCTCGCGAATTATATCAATCATCTCGAATGAAATCTGGCGTGATTATTTTTAGGCTGATCAAACATGTCATCCCGAAAGATTAATCGTACGTAGCGAACGAGTGAGTCGAACGTTTATGTATGCGAGCTGATTAGGAAATTGAAGGAAGAAAAGGTGGATTTTTAATCAAGTCCTCCAGTTTCGCGTAGGGTCTCAAAGGATCTCCGGTGTTTCAAGGATTCAACGTGTCGTAAATAAAAGATGTTACCAACCTCGAGGGTAGCCAGGCTAGCCAACGACGAAAGAGGTCGAGTATGAGGAACCTCTCCGGGGAAAACGCTGTCGTGCGACACGGACAATTTT